ATTATCAAATTTAAAAACGATATTTAGAATTTAAAAATTTTAATTATTTGGTAAAAATTTCAAAATTTCAAAACTTTTAAAAAATTTGGAATTTTGATATTTTAAAACTTCAAAAATCTAAAATTTCAAAATATTTTGAATTGATATATGTTACACGGACCAAAATGCTCATATAAAATAAATGTATTTAAAGGATATATGCAAGGCGCGGTACATAAGAAATACTAGCAATCTTTCAAAAAACGTCTCGTAAAAAGACGAAATAGACAAATATTTGAAAATACAAAATATGCAATTTTTTTATTTGTTGTTATTGCCTTTGAACTAACTGTCAGTAACTGAGAGTACTCTCACATCTATACTTTGTGTCTTTTTGTTGTTGTTACCCTGCCACGTCCGGTCTGTGTTTTTGTAAGCTGTTTTTCTTCTTTGTATCGATCTGATGAGTAAAGCCCTTTTCAACTGATTTTTATAGTTTGTTCGTACACTATGTTGTGATGTAACACCGGTGTCCCAGGTTAGGGTTTAATCCCGCCACATTCTATATGTGTCTGTCCCAAATCAAAAGCCTGTAGTTCAGTAATTGTCGTTGGTTCATGTCTGTCATATTTGTTTTTCGTAATATGTTTTGTTATAAATTAGGCCGTTAGCTTTCTAAATTGAATTGTTTCATATTTTTCATGTCGGGGGCTTTTATGCCCGACTATACGGTATTGGGTTTTCTCATTGTTGAAGGCCGAACGGTTGCCTATAATTTCTTACGTCCACTTCATTTGAACTTTGGTGGATAGTTGTCTTATTGGCAATCATACCACATCTCTTTATTTTTATACTAAACAGAACTAACTGACTTACTAAATTCGCAACATAAACAACGGGGAAAAAAAAACTAAAAACAAGATTACCAAAACACTGGGGCTTAATTTCACAAAAACCTGGCTGCACAAATCTGTTTCAGAGGAAACCAATAATTTCTTATAAAAGAAGCGGGAACTTACAATTGTTGACTACAAACCTTAAAATAATTAATATGCGAGAAATCACGAAGTCGAAAACGCGAAATCACGAAGTCGAAAACACGAAAACGCGAAGTCGAAAACACGAAAACGCGGAAACGCGAAAACGCGAAATTGGAAAGAAAAAATATTTCGCGTTTTCGCGTTTTCGTGTTTTCGACTTCGCGTTTTCGTGTTTTCGACTTCGTGATTTCGCGTTTTCGTCCTACAGAATATGAAGGGCGAAAACGCGAAATGGCCTCAACCGGCCACCATAAAATTAAGTTTTCTACAGATACAGCCAAACGTGCAAACCAAATCTTTGTATCTATCAAAGAATTTGATAAAGTAATTTGTGATAACGATTGATTGATTGATTGATTGGTGTTTAACGCCACTTTCAACACTATTGTGCTATTTCTTGGCGGTCAGTTTTTATTGATGGAGGAAGCCGGAGTGCCCGGAGAGAACCACCGACCTTCGGTAGGAAAACTGACAATCCTAAACACCGTAAGATGGTGCCAAAGTAATACACCCCCACCCCCCCCCCCCCCCCCCACACACAAAAAAAAAGGAAAATTAACAATAGGGAACGAAAAATCGTAAATTTTTGTGTAGAGTTTCCCATGTAAAACTGAAATATCTAAATCTAGGATAGGACAGTTATTACCATTTATATCTGACTTATTTAAAGTAACCTCCTTTGGTTAAATTTCGGCAGTACATTTAGAAAATTCTTGATTATTTAAGGAAAAAATATCATTAAGATAACGGTAAGTGTTGTTGAATTTATTAATTAAATGGAATTAAGACGGGTCTTTACTGAGTTTGACCATAAACTGTGAATCATAACAGTACAAGAACAATTCTTTTATTAGAGACACAATTGGTGCCCATAGGAATACCTACAACCTGTCGATAAACTTTATTGCAGAAACGTACATAAATGTTGTCAAGGAGAAAATTAACAGGTTCGATTATCTAAGCACACCTCCAGTAAGTATGTCTAGCATATTTACCTTTCTCATTAGAGGAGAAGGCTTTAAATGAGTTGCAGCAAACATATTTGCAATCAGATTTTTTAAACATATATAAGTCTGTTATTGTTAGCAAAAGTTCAATTATATTTGATGTATGGAATGATTGTAAGGTGTACATTTCCGTTAAACGAGATTCATTTGATCTTGATCTCATTTTCATGATTCATTCTCAATGTTTAATTTTATTGGTCAAGTTCATATGTCGGATACCATAAGCAGTATGTAAACTATATTTGATATGAATTGATTGTATAAGGTATACATGTCCTTCTTACATGGTTCATCTGACCTTGAACTCATTTTCATCGTTCATTGGTCAATGTTAAGTTTTCTTCCTTAGTATCTAAACTTGACCTTATTTTCATGGTTCATTAGTCGATGGTAACTTTTCGTGGTAAAGTCGGTTTCTCGGATATTTTGATATGAATAAACTTAACATAAAGGATAGAAATATGATATCAACACGTAAAATCTGGGACTGTTATACTTGTCCCATGTAAAATATATGACATTTACTGCATCATGTAAAGTCTCTTGTTTTGAACATGTTTCATTATGGTACTAATTGTATACGTAAAATGGCTAACAGACATCTTAAGTGTGATATTTTGATTTATATAGAAGTAAGGTGTGTTATGATTGTCAACGAGACAACTGTCCACCAACGACCAAACAGTTTCCATGACCCAATACGTCATGATACGACGACGGGACCAATTCATAAATTCATGTATTAATCACAGAATTCTTTTTTGAAAAATTTGCACTTTAATAGAGTTGTCTTTCTATTATCGGGAAAAGGTTACGTTTTGTTTGTGAAGTCAGTAATTTCAAAATTGACAAAAATAATCAACCGAGCTAAAAGAAAATATGTTGCTTTTTGTACCGTTCAATGTTGTTTACCTTACTTCTCCTTTTATTTATATTCGAAAACACCAACCACGATTAAAGTTAGGAAACAACTCTGTCTTGTGCATACAATATGGAATATCTTTATTCTTTGACCATATAAAATGTGAAGAGTGCTCTAATCAAAGTAATTTTTCATACATCATGGGAAAATTTCACCTAGCTTATCCGCCGACACAATCGGATGTTTATCAATGAAAATAGGAGACGCAGACTTATCGAAGCGGCTTGGAAGAGGACCGATAACCACGGTTTACAATATATTGGAGTGTTTCCATACATCTAATAGAAAAAATGAAAAAAAGTGAACAATTGGAAATTCAGTTTAACAGTTTAAAAATGACCGAACTTATTAAGTGTAAGTAAGTAGGAAAGTATATATTATAATAAAAAAATTTGAGAGCTTCTATTATAGTAGTCTCAGTTCAGTGGCGGATCCAGGGGGTTTCCGGGGGTTGGAACCCCCCCTTTTTTTGGACGATCAATGCATTTGAATGGGGATATTTGGTTGGAACACCCCTTTATCCTGGGTTGGGAACCCCCTCTTTTTAAAATGGCTGGATCCGCCCCTGCAGTTGAGTGTCCACTCGTATATATACAAATTAAAAGTTTAATGCCATAGGAGAAATAATAAGCTCTTACAACCGACTATATACAACATCTAGATATATGCGCACAAGCATAATAAAAATAATTAAATGACACAAGAGTTTGTAACCAGCCAAGGGGTCTGTAAACGTAATTCAGTAAGATGACACCACGACAGACAAGTGTTTTGACTGAAAGCTGTAATATACAGAAACTTTGAGCCTAAAAGAATTACAGGGCTTATGAAAATATGCAGTGTAACTTTTGTTCTAACTTCCTGTGTTAGAGTTTAATTGAACCGAAGACATGCATACAGATGAATTGTGACTTTTTTGCCTATAATATATAAGTTACACTTTGGACCAATATATATTCATGTATTAGTCTCAGATTACATCTTTACTTCCGCAGTCAGAACATGGAACCTGGGAATAGTATAATATAGTATGTCCTGTGAATAGTATAATAGTATGTCCCAGTCAGAATCAATTCATGAAGGTGTAGAGATTTTTCATAGCCCACACAATTTCATTATACTTGACAGTCGAAGCTAGAAAAAAAATTAAAAAAAGATACAAAACTTGACCATCGACTTGCAATTTTTGTTAAATATGCAACCTGAGACTATTATACGTGTTATGTTAACCAAATCTGGAATGAACTGCCTAACTACTGTCGCATGGAAACATCTTTTGACCAAGTGATAAAACTGGTACACACATGGGATCCAAATAACAGATCATGCCAGTGCAGTGCACGGTGCTTTAGTGCTTGTGTTGTTTTTTTTTTTTGCCGCTGACTTCTTGTTTTGTATACCTTAAAAGTTTTTGTTGCTATCATTTGTTGTACTTAATATTCTTACTTATGCAGCGTATGTTTTAAGATATATACTTTATTTTGCATGCATAATTTTTTTCTTCTAAAATATGACTGAAACCATGCTCAGTGTTATCTATATTGTCTTGCCATGCATAACATGTTTAAAATTGTGTTGTTTTCATGACTTTTGTATGTGTGTATATACCGTCACGGTATTTAGTCGATTCGAAAAGCTCACTAGAAATTGTGTTTTTGTAGTTTACTGCCGGAATGTCGACTGAATAAAACTTTGCCGCGGAATTCTCTGATTACTATAACACATGTGTGACTTAAACAGTTATGCTTAGTCCTTGGACCAGTACATTGTATTAATAGTACCAGTGGCTTGGCAGTAAGAATACTTGGATTCCAGCAAAAAAACTGGGGGTATAGGTTATACGTCACACAACAAATATAACTTTGGCGAGTTGAAGATGAAAAAAAGGACAAAAAATTTAAAAATTGAATAAACTCTAACCTGATGTCATTTGTGTTTTGCTCGAAACCATTCATATCTTGGAAATTAAATTGATATGACCGGATATGTTATACCAGTTTTATAACCATCGAAGGTCGGACTATTCATGACATAATTTAGAATAAGATTGGCGCCAAAATCAATTTGCGGGAAGTAAACAATGAAAAGAAACTAAACCATGCCCACTGTAAAACCTATGCGCTATGCCCACAGCGATGGCCATACTGACGTATGCTTTGAAGAAAGTGGAAAGTAAGCTCAACAGATGTGTATTATATGAAGTGCATCATTTGATCTCTCCGACAGGCACAAGGGGCATGGATCCCCTTTTTTCTTTTCCTTTTTTTTGTGTTTAGTATTTAATATTTTGATAAATTTAATGTGTGTGCTCTTATCCATATGCCATTACAATAACATTAGTTTATGTATATGCTACCCATCTATTCTAATTATCCACAAGGCAGATCCACAAACGCTTAAAATGGACCCCCTATTTCTAAATATTGTACATACAAAGAACCAACAGCAACAAAAAGGTAAATCTGTTATTGATTAGAACATGTCCTAACCATATGATTTAATAGAAATACAGTGCAAAATAATGTACTGGAGCCGGAGGTGAGCAGATTACGACATTTGAAGTTTTCGATCTTTCCGGTCTTGTAGAAATTAAAAACAGTCAGTGAAAAAGAAAATTGAACCAAGAGTACACTCTTAATTTTAGTATAAACAGAATCTGCTAACAGATAAGCCTCCCTAGCGTCCAAAAAAGGACCAAATTAGAGATAAGCTTAAATCAGCCTTCTGAAAAATTAAATGAGAGAAATCTGCTACAAAAACTCTCCTCCTGCATAAAAGGGGTCAGAAATAAATGAAGCCTTTCATGAAGGAGTGTTCCCTCAACTCAAATGAGCCAAAGTATTGGCTATAAAATGAACAAATTTTTGAATTCCAGCATGATTCAAATGCAATAGGTCAGTTTTGTGAAATAAAGGGTATATAGGTCTAAAATCTGTCATAGAAAGAATTGCAAGCGGACATATAGCTAACCTTCACCCATCCTGTTTGAGAAAAATCAAAAAGTTGTGAATTAAAATCCTGAACTAGGCGGTCAGACATTTTAAAATCTACTGGTCTAGGTAAAATGGAAGATAAAATAATTCTACAGGAGGCGTTTACACTCCTTATTTCCTGAATAATTAAATTAATATTAATCCTATATTGATCACTTGTTATTGCAAAAATATCATTAGTGCCAACATGAATTATAACATTACAAAATTCATTAATATTAAAATAGCCATGTCTAATTTTCCAAAGCAAACGTTCACTTGTTATGCCACGAAACACTTGTATCTCTGTATTCTTTAAATCAGGAAAGTATTTAAAAAACGAATCACTTAATATCAAAGTGCTTCTGCACCAAGCTTTGCCTCCTAAAACGAGAATAAAGTATTAGAAAACAATTAACAATACATCATTTTGTTTGCCACAGTAAGCTTTTCATTCAAACCATAACGGAGATAAAGTTTATATGCAGAACTTTTCCAGTCACCTTGAAGTTGAATTAAATCAGATGGTACACCACATTTGAAAGCCCACCTTGCACCACCCCTTCTAAAACTATGAGTTGAAAATTTACCTGCATCCAAGCCAATACTTGTAATGCATTTTTTCAAAAAAGAATTGAACATATTGTAAGTAACTGGTTTTAAAACACCATTCTTTTTAACAACAAAAGCTGAGGCTGAGTATAGGAACAATAAATTTATCGCACATGGAAACATAGGCCGTAAATGGACAAAGAGGAGAAGAAATATTTCTAACAAGTGGAATTTGCAAACTCCTTTCTCCAAATTGTATAGTTTTAGACCAATTAAAATTCACAAGCAATACATTATGTTTTACAAAAATATCCTTCCTCTTTAGACATTTCAAGGGGTCATCAGCGGTGCCTACCAAATTAGACTTTCGGCACATAAGAAAAAACGCAAACAAAAATAAACACCAAAATAAAAAATGTTCTCAAAACTATCAAAAATTGTTGATCGACGCTTCAACTCAAATTTCAAAAATAAAATATAATAAGAACTAAGTGTTTACCGTGTGAAAACAAATCTTTGAGTGAGGTAAAAAGGTATGTAATGTAACAGGTAAACGAAAGTGAGTAGAATTCAACTAATAATCCAATAAGAAAAGTTATGACAAAATCAGGATGACGAAAAGAATGTAGCATTAAATAAATAATTTTGTTAGGAACAGAAAATTAATAAAATTCTAGCAAAAATATAAATTTCTTTCTCAGTAATTAATCATTTTTAATAAAATAAAAATGTCCACAAATTTTTTTTTTAAAAGGTGACAAAGTTTCCCAAAGCAGCTGTGGGTAGATCCTGATCCTAAGGTCAAACTTAACATGATTTGTTTCATGGTACTTGTTTGTTTCATCATATGGTATACTGCTGCTCAAAGTGATTTAGACATACTTGTTCAGATGGAGGATTAGGGTTAATGGCTTTCAAGCTCTTGAAATAGCCCCTACCTTACTATGTATTATCTACATTTGATTATACTTCTTTGTAGGATTCTTTCTTTGCCAGAAAAGATTTATAATTAAAATATTTGGCATCTGCTTGCTTCCAAAACTTTTTATGCACCATTTGATATATTCATTAAATCATGCAAATCAAAACACGTATCAGCTCCAAAGACTTACCTTTTGGTTTCTGTTGGTGGTTTGTATTTACAATTGCTCAGCTGTTCAGAAATTTTAAGTTTTCCACTCCTCTAGATTAAATTTCTTCATTTTCATTGCTGACAAGGCCCAGAAAAATTTGTTTGTTTAAGGTTACCTGACCGTCCCTAATTTGAGCACCGACCTAGGCATTTTATTTCTGTCCTAAAAGGAGAATTAAGTTATCTCGTGTCAAAAGCTAATTTGGGGTGGACAATAAATTTAATCAATTGCCTGATACATCCCAATGTTCACTCGTGAATATGAAAGCTGTTTTAAGGAAACTTGCAACTCGTGAAAAAATAAACACTTTGCTGCATTTTTTTCCAACCGAAAACCAAGGGAAAATCTAGCATTAAAAATACGGGTAAACTCAGCCCATGGACAACTCATACCACGGCAATACGGACCATATGACTCAAAATCATGTTGCAAAAAATAAAATGGAAATACTGACATACCCAGCTACCCTATTTTTATGCCCCGCCGCTAGGTGAAGGTGCATTAAGTGTGACCTTTGTCAGTTCCGTCCGTCCATCGCATGCGTCCCCAAATTTGGTTTCTTCTCTAACTTTAGTTTGCCTCTACCAAATGTTATAAAACTTATACACAATGCTTGTTACCAGGGCCTAATCTAGGATTTTGAAGAGGGAGAAGTGACTTCTCCTTCCATGAGAGAGAAGGGAGAAGTGGTCAATTTCTTGGAGAAGTGACAGAGATTCTATAACCGATTCGGTTGCATAGTGTTCTCGTGCTTATCACTAAGGAAATTTTTTTATATGCAATAAAAAATATACTTGCAGTTTTTTCATGTTATTGCACAAAATGTATAAATAGAAAGTTCTTAATAAAAAGGTTTAGACAATATAGTTGTTATTTATTCATTGATACCATTTGTATTGTCAACTTGAATTTAAGTTTAAAATAAAATTTGTTGTTTGGGACATGAGGGAGTAGCCTATATATAGCTAGTAATGTTATGATGCATTAAATCCATGTGCATCTGCCTCAATTTATTTTTTAAAGTCCAGAAAAATATGACTCCCAGTTTACCTGATGAATTTCACATGACTGGGAATTTAATTTATATCACCACTTATCATTATTTTGTAAAACATTATTGAATCTCCAGGACATCATGTTACATGTAGTTGTAAATTGAGATTTTCGTCAAAGATTGTAAGCCTATAAATGAAAATATCTTTCAATCACATATTAATTAACTGATACAGAGCTAATTTTTATCATTTTTTAAAGATATCTTCCCTATCAACGAAATATTGTCGTTAAAAAAAATCCACTGACTGCTGCAGTGCTGATCACCGTCGTACGTTTGCAATCACATTATCCATCAGCTGTCTTTCTACCTTTTATATTTCAATTTTTATTCAATGAATATAATAAATCTACCGCTAATTCCCACCCTTAACCCACCGAATAGTACAATTTGATCGACTCATAATAAATAAAAATAAAACAAATCAGCTGAGTGATTACGCAACATCCTCAGATAAAAATCATCGTAAAATGATAACTTTAACAGACGGTCAGTTTTACTTTTGAATAGTTTTGAATGTTATATCCAAGGATGTTCAAAGTCGCCGTTGTATTTATTTAATTTGATCGTCGACAGTATTAGTCCTGGGTCGTTTCGAAAATCTCGAATTTCTTTGTCCGTCGCCATTTTTTTTTACCTGGGCGACTTGTAATTCACAAGTTGTCTCCCTTTTACCGATTTTCATAGCGATTTGACTTCGCCATGAAGTCAGTCGGCTGGCGAGATTTAGCGATTTTCAAAATTCTTTGGCGACTTAAATCGTCATTTCACCGGCAAGATTATGGCCTGCTTATTACCATAAAACACAGATCAATTTTGAAATTGGGTGGCGTCACTTTTACTGTTCATGAGTTGTACCCCTTTTATAAACATAAAAATTGCTGAATTTTTCGTTTCCGTTTTCTAACATTAGTTTGCCTCAACTGAAACTTATACACAATGCTTATTACTACAAAACACAGATTAAATTTGAAATTGGGTGGCATCAGTTTTACCGTTCTTGAGTTGTGCCCCTTTATAAATTGAAAAATTGTTAAATCTGTTGTTTCTGTTCTCTAACTTTAGTTTACCTCAACCAAATGTTATGAAACATACACAATGCTTATTACCTCAAAACAAAATTTGGGTTGCGTCACTTTTACTATTCTTGAGTTGTGTCACTTTATAACGTTATATGCAAACAGGGCATCATCTTTGTCCCATGGACACATTCTCCATTTATTTTTGATGATGTAACCTTAAACAGACATATAATTTTTTTTTGGCCAAATGGAAGTAGATGTCAGACAATTAAACAATTGCCCTCTACTCTAGACTCTTATATAATGCAGTAAATCATGTAGTCAGCTGATGTAGTCTGAGAAGTTTCCAAGTTTACAGGCACCTTAATTTTAAAAAAGACAAGAAACCTTTCAAACTAAAAGAAGATCAAACACACAAAAAAAAATAGTAAAGAAAAAACGAGGTGAAGAGATCCGTGGCCCAGTGATCTATTTCTCTAATGGGGCTCATATCATAGATGTTTTTATCTTGAAGATACTGTATGTGGCAGTCAACTGGTATGTATTCTAGATTATATTTCTATGCCCTAGTCAACCATTGGGGTTATTTTTATTTCTGATCTTGGTCTCTCACACTTCTAAATTGTGTTGGATGTGTAATTTTAATTTTTATAGGTACATGCTGACATGTGGTCAAGATGGAGATGTAAGAGTTTGGGAAGGAATTGATGATGATGACGCTGTTTCTCACAAAGTTGGTGACAAAGCATTTGCAATTGTATTCAAGGTAATATACATATAATCAAGGTACAAGCTGTTGGGCGTTTATTGCAAGAAAGTTCGAATTCCCATTCTGTCCATTCCTGCTTTTTGTGGCTGTCAAAAGCAATTTTGTGTTGCTCAGCTAGTGATCGTATGATTAAAAGTCACGATGTCAGAAGTTTTCTGTTCAGTTGTTAAGATAGCTGTCATCTGTCATTAGCAAAAACTAAGTATGGCTTGATTGACTGTGAGAGGAATCTGTATTTGCATGATGGTAACATACATATAAAAATAAGAAGATTTGGTTTGATTGCCAGTGAGACAACTCTCCACCAGAGACCAAATGACATAGAAGTTAACAGCTATAGGTCACTGTATGTCCAACAAAGAACACATCCCATACTGCATAGTCAGCTATAAAAGACCCCAAAATCACAAATGTAAACAATCCAAACGAGAAAAATAACGGCCTAATTTATGTAGAAAACAATGAATGAAAAACAGATATGATACAAAGCAAAAACGACAACCACTAAATTACAGGCTCCTGACTTTAGGACAGACACATACAGAATGTGGAGGGTTAAACTAGATTGCTGTCGACCAACGCCCTTCCTTACCTGATAGTGGTGCATACACATGTAGATACACAAAAGACTCAGTTGACCGAGAATCAATGGTTCAAAGTGAAAAATATCCAAATGAGATGCATATTTTTAAGTTTGTTTACAATATAATGTGCATACGAATGCAAATGCAATTTTACAATTCATTAATTTAGGTTTATTTGATTTTATTGATTATGCACATACATTTTATACCCCTTTCAATATGATCCAAATAAAGATAAATGAAATAGAAAAGACCCCTATTTGAAAATTAATTGGTCAAAGCCATATTCTTTCTTTTCATTTTATTTATCCTTTAATCTGCTTGATGATATATATTTGTTAATGGAACAGTTCACTTTTAGATAGAGATGATAGACTATTCCCTATACTTTGAATGTACTTTAATTTGTGGGGTACCAATTTTCGTGGTTTTCGTGGATGGCTTCATCCACGAATTTAAGTGTCCAACGAAATATAACAACTGTTGTCCAAATCAAGACATGGAAAGATCCCCTTGTAGGTTTGACTACATTGATACCGGCATATCAAGAGAATACATCAAATATAAGCAAACGCAATATGAACTATATATACAACTTCAGACATGATTTTATCTATTTAATCTTTATCAAACCTAAATTGTACGACTTTTAACCTTTTAATTGTCATGAAAAATTAGTTTTGATGAAAGAAAGTCAAACTTCCAGTGATGATATCCAATGATGAGGTATTGAATCTCTCCCCTCATAATTCTCTTACAAAAAAAAATCATATTGTGCTTGCTATTTGTCTCGCCTGCGACGAAAGTTGCAGTATGCGAGACATAGGTATTACTATCTGGCGGCAGCGTAAACTATTTGTATGAAGGTTTATATTTCAGAAGGTAGAAGACCTGGATGCTTCATACCTGGTATGCAGATACCTTATGTTACGAAGTTTCCGTCTGTCATATGCCCATTGTCCTTGACCTCATTTTCATGGTTCAGTGACTGCTTGAAAAAAAAATAAATTTTGTCATGTGAATTTCTCACTTATGAGTAATAGGATAACTATATTTGGTATATTGGTTCCTTGCGACGTCTACATGTCTGTCAGACAGGGTTAACCTGACCTCGACCTCAATTCATGAATCAGTCATCAAGGTTAAAGTTACATGATTAGGTCCATTTCTCAGATAACACAAGCAGCAGGTCAACTATATGTGGTGTATGGAATGATTGCAAGGGGTACATGTCAGACTGGCAGGTTTCATCTGACCTTGACCTTGTTTATTTTTTTTGTTTTGGTCTGGTTTTCAAGTACTGTAAGCAATAGGTCAACTATATTTGGTGTATGGAACGATTGTAAGGTGTACATGTCTGTCTAGTTGGTGTCTTATGACCTTGACCTCATTTTCATGGTTCCTTGGTCAATCAATGTTAAGTTTTTGTGTTTTGGTCTGTTTTGCAAATACTAATGGCAACAGGTCAGCTATAATTGGTGTATGGAATGACTGTAAGGTGTACATGTCTGTCAAGCCAGTATCATCTGACCTTAACCTCATTTTCATGGTTCATTGGTTAACATTGAGTTTTTGTGTTTTGGTCTGTTTTTCAATTACCATAAGCAATGGGTCAACTATATTTGGTGTATGGAATAATTGTAAGGTGTACATGTCTGTGTGACAGTTTTTATCTGACCTTGACCTTATTGTCGTGGATCTTAAAAAATGTCAAGTTTTTGTGATACTTGCAGTAAAACCTTTATCTTTAAGGCTTTCAACATAAAATCAATGGTCAGTAAAACAGGCAAGACATTTCAGCGTGTGCACTCTTGTTTATTTCATTCAGAATTAATTCTACATTTCAAAGTACATTTGTGGCATTTGTTTATGTAATCGTTTGCTTTAAAATGTTTAAGTGACATGTTTATTAGCCAATTAACACCTTTGATGACCGTTAATCTGTTGATCATTTGATTTGGGTTAAATAGTGTCATCACTTCTGATTACACATGTGCAATGATTAAAATGTTTACTTTGCAATTTCCTTCAATCGAGACAATTTGTAAGCATAGATTAATCAGCTTATTTACGAATGCAATTATTTTAACAACAAAAATTGAAAGTTGTCAGTAATGAAAGACTAACAAGTAAGTGAAAATGAACACATTATTTAGCAATGTCCCACAAATTATTATAAAACAACATATGATAATTTTCAAGAATCTGCGTAACAATTTTTTTTCAGAAAAGTAAAATCCACAAATTTAAGAACCCACGAACATTTAACTTTTGTTCAAACCATGAAAATTGATACCCACAAATTAAAGTACTTTCACAGTAGCTGACAATGGCTTAAAATAGATTTTTTTCACCCCTGTCTGTATCGGGGGTTCAAATTAGCAGTGGTCCGAGGTCCGTTACCTTCCATTTTCGGGTTTGGACCATCCTTCCGGTAGTTAGCTACACTCAACGGACTTTTGTATTTTGCAGGTTAAAAAAATTTCATTAACATTTTGAGTAAAATCTATCGACCTAGTATAAAAATGATCCTAAAATATGTAACATTACTGAAAGGAAACTTTTGTGTTTTCTTAAATTCTTCACAATCAATTTGATGTGTAGTCACGTGCTGGTTGTTGTGACAAGATACAAGGAAACTTGAGAATATATTATTTAAACATAACTAGTAAAGGGTATGAGTTGTTCGTTTTGGGGTGACCTCTTCCAAGAGAACCTGATGAAATGAGTGATACAAAGTCCAAATGACAGGATCTGACTAAAGCCCAAAAATATGAAGTTTGAAAACAAAGTTAAGCTGTTATCTGACACAAAGTTAGGCCATTGTGTTTTATATATATATATATATATATATAAAGCAGCAATTGAAGCCAGAATAGTGAAAAGGGTACAAGGTGTTATTTAACACAGCCTATAGTGCTGGGAAAAAGGAGAAGCATTTTTAGATTATGAATTTATTTTAGAAGTTCAGAAAAAAAACATGAGTTTGATGTATAAAAGACGCATTGAGTGCTTTGGAAGGGTAAGCATTTTTTGTTTTTATAAATTGAATTTTCAAGTACAATTAAAATTGAGCCTAAGAATAAAGGACCTTTCAGTCTTTTTGGTCAAAGGTTGAGGACCTTCCATTGCATAAAGTAAATTTGAACCCCTGCCGTATAGTAGTACCCTTTAATTTTTAAACATCTTAATGAACAGATGAAATGTTGAAATAAACATGTTATACTTGAATTAGCATTATGTTATTTTTCAGAATAATCGTATCATTACTGCATCTGACTGTAACACTGTTCAGGCATATACCTTCCCTGAAGGAGCTCCAGATGGAATATTGACTCGCTTCACTGCACCTGCTAATCATTTGGTTGTAAATAAATCTGGGAAAAAACTAGTTGCAGGAGCAAGGTAACCAATAATTGGACAGAACATTCAATGCAAATTTATGTCACTACGTAGAAGTTACAAAAGTAACAAAAATTATTCTTTTTTGAACAACCTATAATCTTATCTATTGGTAATTGCTTTATCAGCTTATAGTTTGAAAGAAAGAATAAAATAGAGGTGATAAATAGAGAACTGAACAATTTTTCCCTTATTTTAAATTTTTTTTTACCTGCATTGCTAGCAGCTAAATCAGGCCTAGGTGATGCTTGACTTTGTCTATCATTCCATCCATAGGAAAGACTTTGAAGTTAGCTGGTTAAGCAACTGCTCCACTCTGTCATTCCGTCTGTCTGAAATACCTGTGGTAGAAAACTTTCATCAAACTTTTCTTTGCTTCTATGATAGGAAATAATTTATATTTAGTCTGGAGCTTGATGATGTTGAGTTATAGCTTGTAAGCAATTTCACATCTGCCCTGCAGCCACTTCCTGTTTACTGAAAGTTTAAAATCTTACAACAATCAAATTGTTATATTATAACATTTTCATCCCTTAACATTACTTCAATAAAAGTACCAATTGAACATATCTTTTGTCTCGCCAGATTGTCTTTTTCTGAATTTTCTGTAGTCAGGCGATACATATCTCTGTCGAATCAAGTTTTTAAAATCACCTTCATCAACACATATGTTACCTCAATCAATGGCATGCAGTGATGCAGGTCCAGGCCCAGTATTGGTCTTGTTAACAATTAAGAAAAATAAACTATATCAAATTTTAGTTTTTAAGTGTGTTTTGTTTTCAGTTTTGGTGTTAGAGAGGTTAATTAAGGCTTCTTTTTGTCCATCATTTGCTTTTAATGGCCTTCAAAAATGCATTTTATGGACTGAGATATTTGTTAAGGGTACATTTTGCAGTAAAACACATATGCCAACCATGAACATAGCAAAAAGTTCCTGATATGTACAAGGTACAAAAATAGTTTTCATAGTCAATTATTACTTTTTATTTTAAAATTACTTCTTTATGATATATAATAATATAGAGATAAGGATCATGAAGATGTGGTATGTTTGCCAATGAGACAACTATCCACCAGAGACCAAATTACATAGATGTAGGCAACTATTAAGTAACTGTAAGTCAGGTAAAAATTACTTACACTTTTGACTTGTGTTTCAGTGATTTTGTGATAAAGATTGTTGATACAGATACAAGTAGCAGTAAGACATATTCAGGACATGAGGCACCTGTTCTTAGTGTAGCTCTTGATCCAAAAGAACAATTCTTGGTAAGGTCTTATACAGTTATAAGTGTAAACATGTTTGTATGGGGAATAAGTAATTTAGTTTTTATGGTGCATTTAATATAATAATGGTTATATTTTTTTTTTGTGTAATGAATTAGGTAAAACTTGGTATTTATGTCTGGTAAATCAATATTGAAACAGTCTATATTTTGTTGAATAAATTCAATTGGGTATTTTTATGTTACAAGCATATCATATGTAGATGCATTTGGAAATTTTGTTGTATTCATTATCTATTTGCATCAAAATTTATAATTTTGAAAAGATGGACCTGTTATAATTAATGCCTTTAATTCAGCAAATATATTTTCTTTGTGTCATCTGTTTACTCATAAATTACATCTTTCACAAACTTCATTTGGGAATGGATATCCTCTCTTGATTCTGGATTTTTAAGGGCAATTTCATAGCAGTTAAAATACTGAAATGTGTTCAAAATTTAAGTTTCTTGATACTGTCAAATTTATCACTGAATCTTGGTTAATTGGTATAAAATTATTTCATGATGAAAATTTGAAGATTACAGAGCTGTTTACTTGTATGAATTCTACATATTTTCCACTGATTTCTGATTAGAATTTTAATACAGAGACATTTGAATCAGGGATAAATTGGATGATGATGGATGGCTGTTAAAAATTAGGGTTGTTCCAGTAATTGGTGTCTCTGTCATACAAGTTTTAGTTTTAATATCTTCTTATTGCACTCAAACTCAATTGAGCATGGACCCTGAATTCTTAGATATGAATAATTGATACATGTGTATTTAAATGTACTACATGTACCTACATATTATTTTTCAGGCATCATCAAGTTGTGATGGAACTGTCAAAATATGGAAAATTGATGACCAAAAAGTAGTGAAATCTCTCAATATTTTATCTAAATGCAGTGATGTTAGGTAAACATGATTGTCCTATGTAAACCTGAAATTTTTTATGATCCAGTTTGAAAATTTATGAAACGAACTAATTACATATAATACCATTAGTGTGCTAATATATCTGATATACAACAATAACAATAACAATTGTTGACAATATAAATATAAACATTTTTGTCGAGCCTGCGACTTTTGTTGCAAAAGCGAGACATAGCGATCCTACATTCCTTCTGCGGTGTCCATAATGCTAGCAAGACAAAGGTTTGTTTGACTTGCTTGCTTTATTTGTATAAATGTTTGCTCAAGCATTGTAATTAAGATTGACATCTGCAAACAATATAAGTAGGCGGAGTTAAACATGTGTATAGGTAAATTTTATTATTTGATAATGTCCAATCAAATTTAAATATAATGTATACAAGTTTAAATCCGCCTTTTTATGTTGTTTTCAGATGTCAATCTCAATTACAATGCTTGAGCAAACATTGATACAAACAAAGCAAACAAGCCAAACAAACCTTTGTCTTACTAGCATTATGAAAAGAGCTGTAAAGTTTTTCCGATTTTAATAACTTTCTTAAACTATCCTGGATTTGTACCAAACTTGGACAGAAGCTTGTTTATGATCAAAAGCTAGTATCTAGAAGGAAATTTTGTAAAAATTTATTTCCTGTTTTTCCGTATATTACTTATAAATTGACTTAGCTTTATTCCAGTTAACATTACGTACAGTCTGCAGTTAATGTTTTTAAAACATTTATTAGATTCATAAACCATCTTGGATTTTTACCAAACTTGAACAGAATTTCTTACAATCAAAAGATAGTATCTAGAGAAAAAATTTTAATAATTTTTTCCCCATTTTTGTTGAGTCTGCAACTTACAGCAAAAGTAGGCGAGACACTGGGTTCCGCGGAACCCTTACAAATTTTTACTAGAAGTCATGCCCTTGAAAAATGAGAAATTCAGCAAATTGGGGGTACTCATGGAATTACTTCAGTTTGAATTGATTATTCAGGAAGTTTATAGCTATTCCCAATCAAATATAAATTCAATTAAATTTCATCATTGTAGTTTTACTGTTTAGAAAGTGTTGTGTCTACTTTGTAAAAGGAACAGTTTATTTTGTTTATTTCAGTTGTACCTTAAAATGTTTTAATTTTTATTTTTTTTTCAAACTGTAAAGAAGGAAATAATTCATACAAGTTCAGTACTGGGCAGTATTGGAATATTTACATGTAAGTGTCAGTATGCTTCTTTAGCAGTGGCAATGGTATATCTATTGTAAATGATCTAATATTGATTTTTTTCTTACAGTTTATCAAAGACTTTGTGTCGTTTGTGTTGGGAAAAACAGAAGGGAGATGTAAGTTATTAAAGACTGATTCCTCAGAACTTGATTTTAGTTAAGAAATAATCTTGGATAAAATGTCACTTAAAGAGTAACTACTTTCTGTTGCAATTTATTTGCATTAAATGTATTCTATGTGACAGGCATGCTGTTTTTCTTGTAGACTTAGAAACTTCATAATTTTTTCTGCAAAATTTTCCAAAGAAATTACCTGCTTAGTGTAGACTCCAAATTTTTTAATCCAGACTTGATTCATGCAAAAAAGTTTGTATGCATATTGAAGATGAGCATCTTCTCCATGATGGAATTATGTAAGATATTTAACCAATTTTTCCAGACTTGGGAACATAATAAGAAACAATATGACATTGGATACTTATTTGATATAATAAATAGACCTTAGGGTTTCAACCAAGTCATATGAGATTTTGAATAAATGTTAACATAAACAGTAAATCATGAAAGTGTGTATTTCATAATTTGGTATAGTTTTACAATTTATACCCATCTCGTCATTCTGTGGAAATTATTTCTGCCCTAAAAATAAAAAAGATATTTATTTCATGGTAAATTTTAAAAGGTTTGACATTTTTTTGATTTTGGGAAAACATATATACTTAGTTGACTCAGAGATATGGGAAATACATCAGTGAGACAGGAAATCACTCTCAGTTTATTTATATAGCAATAATACAGAAAAGCCATTGAGAGGGCAGCATATGATCTTCAACAAATAAACGTGTCTATACCAAATATCAAGTATATCAACCTCTAAATTGCCCTGATTTTAAATAAGTTATAAATAAATGTAATAGTGACCATCAAAATCTGTATTGCACACCATCCTCCATTGGTTTGACATTACTCAATGTATACCACTTTGAATCCTTGAGTATTTTAATCATTTTTGTGTAGAATCTATAATTCATTTGTGTTTAGTCTCTTTGGTAACAATTTCACTGGAATGATCAGGAACAAACATTAAAAATTGTAATAAATCTTTCAACAGTAGTCTTTGTCATAAAACAGTTAAAAAATTCCCTAAGTTAGGTATCATAACATTCTTTACACCTCAATAAAATATTGCGATAGATTTTGTGTCATTTTAATAGGTAAAATTCCATCAAAAACTCTGGTACTCACCTGCTTTTGAATATTTTACCATCTAGCTCGTATGCATATTGTTGTTTAAAAAAACACCTTGTCAAAATTGACACCAAAGATGTGATGCTTTTGAGTCTACATAACCTACAGACCTGTAATTGTTCACATCTTATGGATAGTTGTCTAATTAACAATCACACCATATATCCTTATTTTTATACTGTTTTATTTTAATTTTTTAGTTTTTATATATACCAGTAGAAAAGGAAATACAGATAATTGAAAGAAACACATGGAATAAAGTTGGCAGCATTACAGATGACAATTTTTCAGGGGTATGTTATTGTATAATATGCTTAGAATATTATATAAATTTGTCTGATGTATGGTACAAATAGATGAAGAAATTGGTGAACTTTATCTATATTCATTAAAAATGAAAACTGTACAATTACGCTCCCAAACCTAATTACAATAGTTATCATAAAAAAAAAACAATCTGGCTTTGCAGGTAGTCATAATAATATATACATATGTCAAGATTATAATACAAATGAAATACCATGTGATCATAGATTATAACTGACAAATAAACTCTGAATTAAAGAACTACTAAGAGTATCTTAATAAATATAAAGAATGAAGCATAACAAAATAAAAATTCTATGAGATACAAATGAAATGTAAATTTCATACCCGCCTCATACAAACCTATATGTTAATATATGTTCCCTATGAGGGTCTTGTTAAACAACCCACAACCTTATACACTGGAGTTAAGCATAAGACAAACAAAGAAGTTGGTTTAAAATTATTCAAACTGTCCTATTTAATTTAAAGTACTTTGCAATTTATAGTTGAAGGAAAAGGTCATGTCACTTTTTAATTAACTGTTCGTCTGTTTGCTTATAGATTTATTCCATTTTATCAATGTCACCTGATGGACAGTTCTTAGCAGCAGGTTGTTATGATGGTAATATTCTTGTATTCAACATCAATTCAAAGACTTGTGTTGACAGGTTTGTTTACAGATAAAGATTAGTACAGTTAAACAAGCTTCCTATACTGTCAACTCCTAAGTTGTACAGTATGGGATATAGTGTAAATTTAGACACAAATATATAGAAAAAGAATTGCAAAAGCTGTATCAGTGGAAGTACTGCAGATAAACATGGAGCCCATATATACATATCCTAATCAACAATTTGTAACCTTTAACTGATAGAGTGCGTGAATATCAAGATTTTTAATATGATTGAACTTAAAATACCATTAAGTTAATTATGTCCCCATCGTAGCGGAGAGGGCATTAAGTGTAACCCATGTCCGTCTGTTCCCAAAATTGGTTTCCGTTCTCTAACTTTAGTTCCTCAACCAAATGTTATAAAACTTATACACAATGCTTATTACAACAAAACACAAATCAAGTTCAAAATTGGGTGGCGTCACTTTTACCCCTTAATAAACATAAAAATTGCTGAATTTTTCGTTTCTGTTCTCTAACTTTAGTTTGCCTCAACCAAATGTTATGAAACTTATACACAATGCTTATTACCACAAAACACAGATCAATTTTGAAATTGGGTGTCGTCACTTTTACCGTTCTTGAGTTATGCCCCTTTATAAACATAAAAATTGCTAAATCTATCGTTTCCGTTCTCTAAGTTTAGTTTGCCTCAACCAAATGTTATGAAACTTTTACACAATGCTTATAATCACAAAATGGTCTATGTGAATCCTGCATCTGTATGTGGAAGTTGACTCATGCATATTTACAAGCGAGGGCATCTGTGGCCCATAGACACATTCTCCATTTTTTTTTAGATGTAGCAGAATAGAAATAACAGTATTGTTTTTGAAAAGTTGCTGCCATCAGTTTGTGTTTTGACTGTGGCAATTTTTCAAATACAGTAATGTTATTACTTATTTGTGCCATAGTATTAATATAGGTGCCAGATAACCAGCTTATATTATGTATCAAAGTGGACAGAAGTGAAAGAAGATGTTGGCTATCATTCAATAAAACAGCAACCCAAAGACACAACCGACCAAAAGACATATAGTCAATATTATATACATGCTAGTTGAGTAATTTAGGATTCATAGGGGTTGTAGGAATATAACTTTAAATCTGATTATTTCACAACTGCCCATGTGAATTATTTTCCATATACATTGTTATATTTTTCAGGTTTAAACATGATAATGGATTTACTATTACAGCTTTGGCTTGGAATCCAAATGGTAAACCAGAGATAGCATTCTGTGATATGGAGGTATAGAGCAGGAGTTTTACTAATTATTGTTGTTTTTGAAACAGCTATTTTAAACCATTCAAATAACATTTGATTTTATCTTATATTTATTTGGTATTGCTGAACTTAAGTAGATAATATTGAATCAAAGAAGATGAAAGGTAAATGTCAGTGATACAGCAAACCAACAACAAAAATATATGAATGAATTTCGAGATGTCATCATTTGACCTATCAACAATGAGCAAACATGCAGACCAAATAACAAGCTCTAGAGAAAAGCCAATTTTTATTATGAAACCATAAAACTGAAAATAAAAACTAGAAAAGTGTACTTAAGATTGGAAACACAAATTTACTACACTCACAGGGGATATTGGTACAAGGTCCTTGTACATTGTAATCATAATTTTCCATTCTAACAGTCAAATCAGGTGTTGCTTTGACATTTGGTTATTGATGTTATGCAAATACAATTTATGAATAACCTGGTATTAATAATCTAGATATATCTAAAAAAAAAATTTGTTAATGCTCATAGCTTTATTCCAGTAATTCAAGGAGTCCAACTTAGTTACAGTTATCTCCCTTTGGCCAGTTTGAAGGTGGTAAATTGGAACAAAGTGGACAATTTACCTATAATTTTATTTTTGTTTTCCAACATTACAAGTTGTAGGTTAATTTCTGGCTGAAATAGCTGTACCTGAAAACCAGAATATTTATTTTGCATGGCCTCACTTTGATCAAAAGATGTCTAATTATACACTAAAAAAATTTGCCACTTTATTGTTTCTGTTTTTTTATAATAGTGAAATTTTCCCTTATCATGAAAGTAGACTATTTGTATATGGCTATTTCCTTTTTGTGAGGGTATGCCTTAAGAGTACATAATGTAGTTCATGGGTTTTTATTTTAGGGCCAGCTGGGGATGCTAGAAGATTTGTCACTGGACAGTACAGGGAAGGTTAGTTTTCTTATATTTTCTCATACTAAACAGAATACAATTTAATTCATGTTTTTCTTTGAACAGTGAGAAGATTATGTTTTTTGTCTTCCCTGCGATGAAATTTGAAGAATCAGAGACTAAGGGATAACAATCTGGCTGCTGTGTTAACTATTTGTATAAAACTTTATATTTTAGAGGGTAGGAAAACCTGGATGCAACATACCTTGTATACAGATGCCTTATGATATTAAGTTTCCATCTGTCATGTGTTCATTAATATTGTCCTTGACCTCATTTTCATGGTTCAGCAACTGCATAAAAAAATGTATAGTTTTTTTTCTGTCATGTGAATTTCTCACGAGTAAAATTGGTATATGGATTTCTTGCATGGTCTACATGTCTGTCAGACAGGGTTCATCTGACCTCGACCTCATTTTATGGATCAGTGATCAGGGTCGAGTTTTTTAAGGTTAAAACCTTTTTCTCAGATACTTAAATTAGGGTCAACTTTATGTGGTGTATGGAATGATTGTAAAGTGTACATGTCAGTCTGGCAGGTTTTATCTGACCATGACCTTATTTTCATGGTTCATTAGTTAATGTGTTTTGTTCTGTTTTCAAATACTATAAGCAATAGGACAACCATGAAAATGAGATGTGGTATGATTGCCAATGAGACAGCTATCCACCAGATTTAAAATGAAGTGGTATAAAGCAATTACAGGCCACTGTATGGCCTTCAACAATGAGTAAAACCCATACTGGATAGTGAACTTTAAAAGGCCCCGATATGAAAATTGTGAAATTTTATACAAAAATCAAAGATAAGTAATACATGGTCCTTGGAGCCTCAAGTTACAAATTGATGTATGCTCTTCTGTATTTTTAAAGTTATGGTGTATTTAGCAATGAAAGTGCTGTTCCTTTGTTTTTTTGTGTTTTTTGCTGTGCATGTACTGTTTTTGTGTCATGGATGGATACCCCATATCCTTTGTTTTTTTACATGTAATATAGAAGTTAACAATTAATTGGTAGCTAATAATTTTATGTTTCTACCAATTTTGATTACTGGTTTGTAGTTTGTCTTGAACTTTATGAAAGTATATATTTCTGATTTAATCTTCTTCAAAATTGTTTTAAAAGTCTTCATAAATTTATATAACACAACTGAATAAAACAACAGTTTCTAAAACATTCTTTGAAAAATATAAAAAAAGCTGTTTGGTGTGAGTAGAATTTATTTTTGATCCTGTTTCTGAATTATCAAATAAAATAGGTATTTTTAGCTTGCCCAATTATTTGAGTTTGCAATGCCGATGGTACTTTTATTTATCAAACCAGTTGCTGCAACTTTGTTTATTGTTTATTTACAAACTACCAGACCATGTCTGAAACAAGAGCAAAAGAAACCATGGGAATATTTGAAGATGAAGATGATGACTTTCTCATTCAAGCAACCAATGAAAAGTTGGCAGATGATGACCAGCCAATGGATGAAGACAATGACAGTGATGTAGATACACCAATATCTAAAGCTAAACCACTTCCTGATTTAGATGGTATATAGCCTATCTTGTCTTTTAGTGATGAATGTATACTCAAAATTACATACAACTTCATATATCTGAAGTTGAAAATCTAGTTATTCAGTCTGGTCTGGTTTCTGTTTGGCATATGCCAAGTGTTCTTGATCTTATTTTGATGGTTCAATGACTGTTTAAAAATCTTTTATAACTTGATTTTTATACGACCGCAAAAAATTTTTTTTGCGTCGTATATTGGTATGATGTTGTCATCCGAAGACAAGTTTGGTTTCCTGACAATAACTTTAGTTCAAGTGAATGGATCTCTATGAGATTTTACCAGAAGGTTCAATACCACAAAAGGAAGGTTGGGATTGATATTGGGGGTTATGTTACCAACAGTTTAGGAATTAGGGGCCAAAAACAAGCATTTTTGTTGTTTCCGGACAATAACTTGTGTGTTAGTGTATGGATCTTTCTGAAATTGTACCACAAGGTTCCATATCACAAAAGGAAGGCTGGGATTGAGTTTGGGGGTAATTGCCCTAAATGTTCTGGAATAAGGGGCTTAAAAATGGGCCAAAAACAAGCATTTTTCTAGTTTCCAGACAATAACTTGTGTTTATGTGTATGGATCTCTCTGAAATTGTACTGCAAGGTACCATACCACAAATTAAAGGCTGGGATTGAGATTGGGGGTTATTGCCCCAAACGTTCAGGAATTAGGGGCTAAATAGAGGTAAAAAACAAGAATTTTTCTAGTTTCCAGACAATAAATTGTGTTTAAGTGTATTGATCTTTTTGAAATTGTACTGGTAGGTACCATACCACAAAGGGAAATCTGGGATTGAGTTTGGGGGTAATTACTAAAAGGGGGGTAAAAAAATATTAAGGGGGAGGGGGGGGGGGGGGGGGGGTTTCATAATTTTTTGGGTTTTTTTTCTTAAAATTGTCCATTTTTGCATTTATTATTTCTGATTTATATTTAAAAGCAAAAAAATACTGATATGGCAGGAGATACACACCAAACATGACGTGTAAATTATTATATGTCAGAACTATTGTGCAACAGCACACTATTGCGCAATAGCAGGAAATCTTCAATTGCATAGTTTTGTGCAATAGCAAGAAATCTTCAATTGCATACTGTGGATTCATTTATTTTCGTGGGTATCAATTTTCGTGGATAGAGAAAAAAAGACGTTTCGTGGTATACGTAAATTCGTGGATCGCTGATTACAAAAAAAATCAAACAGATACGTAATTCGTGGATTTCTTTTTGATTTAGGAGATCATATAACCTCCTTGGATTGATCAATAATAATAAAACAAACAAAAAAGAAGGAATTCATTGAAAAAGTTTTGAATTGTCAAAATCCTCGCTTGGTCATTCTAGGTTAAAGTGTTTATTGAAAACTTCTATTACAATAATGGACAGAGACAACTCATTATTTGTTTGTTTTACAATTTATAAATTCTTGTCGGAATTTTATAAGGCATTCAAAACTCTATGATAAAAGGTGTGAAAATAAATGTTCCTGTCATAAACAATATTACCTACGGGCAATATATTCCCGTACTTAATCCTATTGATTTTTAATCACCAGTAAACCAAACTATGACACAGTAATTAACAACTGGCAGTTTTTTCCATGAATAGTTTTAATCAATTTTAAAAAGTAAATTATCACTGATATTCGATATATTTATTATTGATTTAATCAAAATACTTGTATCTTCTTTCAATAAAAACACGTGTTATGTTACAATGTTTATCGCTAATCAACACTATACTAGAACTGCATAACATAACCGGAAATAAACATCCGACTCCATACACATTTCTTCGGATTATTCTTCGTTGAATTCTTAAATTCGTGGTTCTGTGTGACCCACGAAACCCACGAAAAATTGGTATACCACGAATAAAAATGAATCCACAGTAGTATTGCGCAATAGCATAATATTGCACAATATCAAGAAATCTTCAATTGCACAGTATTGTGCAATAACAAGAAATCTTCAATTGCACATTATTGCGCAATAGCAAGAAATCTTCAATTGCACAGTATTGCAGATTAGCAAGAAATATCCAATTGCACAGTATTGTGCAATTGCAAGAAATCTTCAATTGAAAATTAATACAAATATTTCAACCCATTTCAAATTTTTAAGATTTTTCACATTTATTTTGTGTCAGAAACCTATATTATGTCAAAAATTTGATCACAATCCAAATTCAGACAGTATCAAGCTTGAATATTGTGTCCAAACTTGCACCAACTGTTCAGGGTTCAACCTCAGCGGTCGTATCAGGCTGTGCTCAGCGAAGCATTTTATTAGAGGGTGTTGCCCTAATTGCCGTGGTCGGACGACATATGATAAATGACCTTTTGATTGATTACTTGAAATCAGAGTGAACAAGTTCCGATTTTTATTGCTTTTATACTCAAGTGTAATTAAGAAAAAGTCAAAATAACAAGTATTCTGTGAGTATTGCCTGGCAATACATAGTCCCCTAAGTCCAAGGACCATAACTCTGCATAAAATCATTAGACCGGACCAAAATTCGAACTTGATCTGTAACTTATCATGATAAAACTATATACCAATCATCAAATCAATATCTTCAAGCATAACAAAAAAAAGTGTGAAAAACTGATTATTTGAGTGAATTTTCTAAGTTCAAGGACCTTTACTCGGCACAAAATCGTCAGACCCGAACAAAATTCGAACTTGAACTGTAACTTGTCATGATAAAACAATACACCAAATATCAAATCAATGTCTTCAAGCACGAAGAAAAAAGTGTGGAAAACTGATTTGCCGGACTGACGGATGGACAGACAAGACGGACAGAGTGCAACCAGGGCTTCCGAAACCGTCATATTTTACGGACAAGTCCGTTAATTATATAAATGACTTGTTGTGCCAAGGCTGAAACGGTCATTTTGATATAGTTTAGAAAAAAACCAGACATTTTAATATAATTCAGAAAAAAATTGAACTTTATGCGATCTTTTTATCTGACCTTTTCCCTTAAACAGCCACACATTTCTGGTCATATAAGTGACATGGTTAATAATTACTATCAAAACAAACCCTACTATAATACCCTCTCATTACAATCAAGATTAATTAGTTCTCTGACAGCTGATGTTACCTGTTCAGGTGACAGGTAAACTATTATGTACCGGAGATAGATCGGTTTAGTATTGAAAGTTATTTTCTTAAATTTCAGCGGTTTGTATCTAATTAATTTAGTCAACAAGATTCTGATTACCAGAAAACGTACATAAATATGATTTGATGAAAATTTAAAAAGGAAGAAATAAAGGAAAAATCGTCAGAACCACATTGTTTGAACTAGTAGTACACTCTTGCGCATGTGCGCAGGTATGAGATAAAATTATGCATCCGAATTTTCAAAAATGCTAAAAATTTCATTGATACCTATATCTAACATTCTTTTCGAGTCTTTTCCTGTAGAAAAAAGTGGAAAGACCTATTTTTAAACTCAATCGTGCTTTGTAAACGTACACGGATTTTACGTATCCGTCTCTGGTCCGTGTTTTACCATTATCAAGTCAACATCCGGTAATAGGAAAAGTACTTTTTAAAAACGAAAGTTTAGTTATTGACAGCGTATTTTTGCGCAAATAAAGAGTCTTAGACAGATATTAATACTCTGATGTTGCACACTGCAAATGGTGCACTGTCAATTTAACAGTTAATGTCAGAACATTGAATTTATATAAAAAATCAAGTCAAATACCTTTTTGTGTCAATCATAATCCATATGATGCCCAACTGATTACTATGGTTGCCTTTTGTTACTAAGTTTTAAGGGATTAAATTGGGATAAGACAAAAATGTCCGGCTTGCTCAAATATTTTTTGGAAGCCCTGAGTGCAACCCTAAAGTCCCCTTCGACTTCGTCGGTAGGGGGTTAATAAAAAGAATATGTGGTATGATTGCAATGAGACAACTCTCCACCAGAGTATAAAACCTTGATTTTATATTGAAAATAATTTAAATCGATGAACTACCTCAAATGTATTTAAATGGATTAAAATATAAATCCAATCATTTCATATGGAGATATTCTCCATTGATTTGTTATAGACATGTACAGCACTCCTGAATTAAAAACCTAACACACCAACATGTTTTCCTTTTTTTTGGCAGATGAAGATTCAAGAAAGGCTGGTTCAGATGATGATGATGCTTCAAGTGCAGTATCAGAACCATTTACACTACCTAAACCTGTTGTACATGTGGAAGGCTTTAAACCCACTCCAATGCAAGGATCATTTCAGTCTGGATCAACACCTGTTCATCTTTCAAGCAGATACATGGTATATGAAACTAACAAGGATTTTCTTCAGTATTGATGTCTATGAGACACAGATTTAGTCAAAATTATTTTATTTCATAATTTGATTTCAGGACCTCCACGAATGATTGATCAAAATTGCTTTATTGTCCATAAATATTTCATGATGTCTTTAATGTTTATGGAGCTCCATAATTATATATTTCAATACCTTCAAAATTTAATTTTTTAATATCCATGAATTTTTATGGAGGTCCTCAATGATTTATGGATATCCTGTATTAAAAAAAATGGAGGTCCTGAAATATTACGGAAAAACCTTAAATATAATAATATAATCAGCGTCTCATAGATGTCAGAATGAATAGCAAGAAAATTCACAAAATGATTTATTAGCTCACCAAACTGAAGGATATTTATTGTGACTTGTCATCCAGCTTCTGTGTGGCTCCATAATTATAACCGGTATAGCCCGACCACAAATGAGAGGGATATAAAGTGATGTACATGTCTGCTTGTTTTTCTATCTGTTACACCATAAGATGATTATTGCACCAGCTTGACCAAATCTTTTGAAATTTAAAAACTGTTTAAGCTATATAAGATCCTGAAAAATTAGGTATAGAGCAATTCGATTTGTTTCCTTACCTTAAGAAGTTGAATAGGATTGAAGAGAGCTTGTGCTATTCCTGACAGTGGCCATAGATCACGAAGAATGATAAGGTTTTTAGTTTTCATATTCTTCAACTTCTCCAAAGTAACTTGAAGTGTCTCTAAAAATTGTGTAGTTTTAAAATTCATATCAGGAGAATTGAGTGCTAACCAACCTGGTAACTCTGTCCTTTTCAGTGTGATGTTAGATGGAACGAGATTGATGCTTTTTAGCTCACCTGGCCCGAAGGGCCAAGTGAGCTTTTCTCATCACTTGGCGTCCGTCGTCGGCGTTAACTTTTTACATTTTGAACTTCTTCTAGAGAACCACTGAATGGAATGAAACCAAACATGGCATGAATGTTCCTTATGAGGTGCTGACCAAGTGTTGTTACTTTGTAGCGGATCCATCATCCAAGATGGCCGCCAGCGGGGGACTTAGTTTAACATAGGACCCTATGGGAAATACATACAAATGTCTTCTTTTAGAGAACCACTGAATGGAATGAAACCAAACATGGCATGAATGTTTTTTATGAGGTGCTGACCGAGTGTTGTTACTTTGAAGCTGATCCATAATCCAAGATGGCCGCCAGCGGGGGACTTAGTTTAACATAGGACCCTATGGGAAATACATACAAATGTCTTCTTTTAGAGAACCACTGAATGGAATGAAACCAAACATGGCATGAATGTTCCTTATGAGGTGCTGACAGAGTGTTGTTACTTTGAAGACGATCCATAATCCAAGATGGCCGCCAGCGGGGGACTTAGTTTAACATGGGACCCTATGGGAAATACATACAAATGCCTTCTTTTAGAGAACCACTGAATGGAATGAAACCAAACATGGCATGAATGTTTTTTATGAGGTGCTGACCGAGTGTTGTTACTTTGAAGCCGATCCATAATCCAAGATGGCCGCCAGCGGGGGACTTAGTTTAACATATGACCCTATGGGAAATACATACAAATGTCTTCTTTTAGAGAACCACTGAATGGAATAAAACCAAACATGGCATGAATGTTCCTTATGAGGTGCTGACCAAGTGTTGTTACTTTGAAGCCGATCCATAATCCAAGATGGCCGCCAGCGGGGGACTTAGTTTAACATGGGACCCTATGGGAAATACATACAAATGTCTTCTTTTAGAGAACCACTGAATGGAATGAAACCAAACATGGCATGAATGTTCCTTATGAGGTGCTGACCAAGTGTTGTTACTATGAAGCTGATCCATAATCCAAGATGGCCGCCAGCAGGGGACTTAGTTTAACATTGGACCCTATGGGAAATACATACAAATGTCTTCTTTTAGAGAACCACTGAATGGAATAAAACCAAACATGGCATGAATGTTCCTTATGAGGTGCTGACCAAGTGTTGTTACTTTGAAGCCGATCCATAATCCAAGATGGCCGCCAGCGGGGGACTTAGTTTAACATGGGACCCTATGGGAAATACATACAAATGTCTTCTTTTAGAGAACCACTGAATGGAATGAAACCAAACATGGCATGAATGTTCCTTATGAGGTGCTGACCAAGTGTTGTTACTATGAAGCTGATCCATAATCCAAGATGGCCGCCAGCAGGGGACTTAGTTTAACATTGGACCCTATGGGAAATACATACAAATGTTTTCTTTTAGAGAACCACTGAATGGAATGAAACCAAACATGGCATGAATGTTTCTTATGAGGTGCTGAGCGAGTGTTGTTACTTTGAAGCTGATCCATAATCCAAGATGGCCGCCAGCGGGGGACTTAGTTTAACATAGGACCCTATGGGAAATACATACAAATGTCTTCTTTTAGAGAACCACTGAATGGAATGAAACCAAACATGGTATGAATGTTCCTTATGAGGTGCTGACCGAGTGTTGTTTCTTTGAAGCTGATCCATAATCCAAGATGGCCGCCAGCGGGGGACTTAGTTTAACATAGGAGCCTATGGGAAATACATACCAATGTCTTCTTTTAGAGAACCAATGAATGGAATGAAACCAAACATGGTATGAATGTTCCTTATGAGGTGCTGACTGAGTGTTGTTACTTTGAAGCCAATCCATAATCCAAGATGGCCGCCAGCGGGGGACTTAGTTTAACATGGGACCCTATAGGAAATACATACAAAAGTCTTCTTTTAGAGAACCACTGAATGGAATGAAACCAAACATGGTATGAATGTTCCTTATGAGGTGTTGACCAAGTGTTGTTACTATGAAGCTGATCCATAATCCAAGATGGCCGCCAGCAGGGGACTTAGTTTAACATTGGACCCTATGGGAAATACATACAAATGTCTTCTTTCAGAGAACCACTGAATGGAATGAAACCAAACATGGCATGAATGTTTCTTATGAGGTGCTGACCGAGTGTTGTTACTTTGAAGCCGATCCATAATCCAAGATGGCTGCCAGCAGGGGACTTAGTTTAACATGGGACCCTATGGGAAATACATACAAATGTCTTCTTTTAGAGAACCACTGAATGGAATGAAACCAAACATGGCAAGAATGTTCCTTATGAGGTGCTGACCAAGTGTTGTTACTTTGAAGCTGATCCATCATCCAAGATGGCAGCCAGCGGGGGACTTAGTTTAACATAGGACTCTATGGGAAATACATACAAATGCCTTCTTTTAGAGAACCACTGAATGCAATGAAACCAAACATGGCATGAATGTTCCTTATGAGGTGCTGACCAAGTGTTGTTACTATGAAGCCGATCCATAATCTAAGATGGCCGCCAGCGTAGGACTTAGTTTAACATAGGACCCTATGAGAAATACGTACAAATGTTTTCTTTTAGAGAACCATTGAATGGAATGAAACCAAACATGGCATGCATGTTCCTTTTGAGGTGCTCAGACAAAGTGTTGTTACTTTGAAGCTGATCCTTCATCCATGATGGCTGCCAGATGGGGACAATGTTTAACAAAGGACCCTATGGACAATACATACAAATGTCTTCTTTTAGAGAACCACATACCGAATGGATTGAAACCAAACATGGCATGAATGTTCCTTATGAGGTGCTGACTAAGTTTTGTTACTTTGAAGCTGATCCTTCATCCATGATGGCCGCCAATGGGGGGACTTCCTTTAACATAAGACCCTATGGGAAATACATAAAATGCTTCTTCTAGAGGTGCACTGAATGGAATGAAACCAAAACATGGCATAAATGTTTCTTATGAGGTGCTGATTAAGTGTTGCTACTTTGTTGCCGATTTACTGTTCAAGATGGCCACCAGGATTTTTTATTAAATTACAGGACCAATATTAAACCAAATTTGGCCTCACTCATTATTAGGGCATCTGTTATGATTTTAATCTATTTTTACATGATTTCCAAAACCAAAGTAGAATCAGGTGAGCGACACAGGCTCTTGAGAGCCTCTAGTTTAGTATGTTGGAACAAAAAAAAATTGTTGAAATAATGATTTGGTAGTGTCCAAGATCACTGCTGACCAACCAAGATTGTTGCCATTATTAAAATTATAAGGAAAAAGAATAATAAAACCTTCAACCCTTGAAAATTTGATTGAGCAATACAGACTCTCTCTCTTTATATGTAAAACCATAGACCAAGATTGCTCTGAGGTCTTATAGCCTTTTTAGGACTTGCTGAGACTGTTTGAAGTCTGAATGCAGTCAATTAAGAACGACATGGAAATTGCCGGCCCAGATTTTGGGCGAAATTATAATATATCTATTTTCAAGTAGATTAATCAAACATTCTTTGATTCCATATATATTTCAATCCACAAATATATAACCTTTTTACATATACTAACACCCTGTAGCACAAACAGAAACATTTTTCCTTTGAATCCCTGAAATTTGACTCTTCATCCAATCCATCCTGTGCAAATGTAGAGCATGTCAAGCTATTTGCATAAAATAGCATTCATAATTACATATAATGTGAGAAAATAAAACAAGATCTCAATATCTTGTTCAAAGTGAAAGTATTTTGCTGAAAAGGGTGGGTTTAGGAAATTGAGTTTTTCGTTTGTGCTACAGAGTGTCAGTAGGAGTTACCTATTTATGGAGTAAAATGAATAAAGAATAAAATTATGTGTGATTATTCTACTATAAAATGGATCTATTATATTTTGAGAAAGAAACTTGCTGCCTCAAGACTTAGTTGGTAATTTCCAAGTCTCTATGGACTGCCCTCTGACGTCCCATGCCCAAGCAATTCCTAAAAAGGCTGCAAGACGCACAGAACCATTAATTGGAGAATTTGCCTTTGTTAACAAGAAATATGAATAAAGATATGCAAGAATCCTTCTTTTACATGGTATATTTCTTTTTAGATCTGGAATTTTATTGGTGTTATAAAACAGTACAATACAGATGAAGAGAATTCTATTGACATTGAATTTCATGATACAGCAATACATCATGCCATGCATGTGACAAATACAAGTAATTATACCATGGCTGATATGTCATCAGAAGCTGTCATTCTAGCCAGTGAAAGTGATGCAGATAATCCAAGGTTAGTTGATCAATGATAAAAACATGTAAAAAGGTCTGATTTTAACCATAGAGATAGTTCTCAATTTTAGTGTTTTCCTATAAAACACAAATGTAACACAATCTAATTTTTGTTCCTGAAAAACTTTGCACAATCTTTTAAACCCAAAACTATTTTATTTTATTTTAAACAAAATGTAAGGAAAAGAAACAAAATGGAAAATGCAAGACTCCAAACTGTTTATATTGGTATTATCTTATGATTTCCGCGTACTAAATAGGGCTACCCTCATTAACACACAACGCTGAAAGTACAGAAAAAGTAAATTTTTTTGAAATGATATACATTGTTTTTCAGCAAACTTACATGTTTACATTTTGGTTCCTGGGATAGCTGTAAAGAATGGTCAATACAAATGCCAGATTCTGAAGATATACAGGTTGGTGAATAGTAATTAAACAGAAACTGATGACAGCTTATTAAAAGTAAAGGATAAAGAATATTGATTACAAAAGTTGTTAATTAATCTTTATAACTCATGATAAAACTTTTTCTTTTTCTGAACGTAATGATGTTCAAACTGACCAGAAGCTTTACAACTCAATTGTGTTGAGTTTTGGTGGTACAGGTACAGCCCATTAGATAAAAGCATTCAATTGTTTTAAATCAAGTGGCACCTTGAAAAAAAGGTTTAAAGTTTTATTCAGTGTTATTGCAGTGATATACTGGACAGGACTGACCGATACATATGAAAACAAAATGAACACTACCTGGTGAACGATAAAATAAACTATAAGTTAAAACAGATAACTGAATTTACATGCTTTTGGGTTGTGAGATTATGAATATTGAGAGAAAAAAATCTTTAAACCTTTAAAAGGAAATTAAAAAAAGATATGGAGAGAAAACACTGTCAGAAGTGTGTAGAATTCATTTACTGTACATGCAAATATATCTGAAATCATTCAGTATGCATTTATGCCACAACCTCTATTCTGAAGCAGCTTTTCTAAATTGTACAAGTAAGATTTTTTTTTTAAATGCAGGCAGTTACAATAGGGGAAGATTGGATTGCTGTAGCAACATATGCCAGAAATGTACGACTGTTTACAATAGCAGGAGTTCAGAAAGAGATGTTTAGTATACCAGGTCCTGTTGTATGTATTACTGCTCATACCAATCAGTTGATGGTGGTGTATCACAAAGGATTAGGTATATTAAATTATTACTTAATTATAGAGTCTTGACTTGCATGCTCAAGTGACTATATAGAGTTCACTTCTCAATTATTAGGACATACCACTTGGGTTTTAGGCTGAGTTTATTGGAGTTGAACAACCTCCTACCCAAATAAGTTCACTCTGACCTATACTTCAAATTTCATTTACTGGTTTATTTTTGTATTTGATTTCAATTCTAAGGAACAATGTGACCTTTGTGCATGGATTCCACCAAGAATTGTCTCTTTCACTAACTTTGTTTGTTTATAATTTACCCACATATTCTGTCATTTTGTCCATTATTTCAGGCTTTTTATACCCCATGCAACAGGTATAATGTTTTTGACCCGTCCGTCTTCTCCGTCCATCCGTCAGTCCTGTTTCTTGTCATCGCAACTTCTCTCAAACCACACAACAGAATTTCATGAAACCTTTTTAGATAATAAGGACATACTATGTAGTTGTGCATATCGACAGGAAATTGCGATTCAATTTTTTTTCTAGGAGTTACGCCCCTTTGAACTTATTTACTTTAATGAACTACTGCAACAGTTTGTCATCGCAACTCCTCTGATACCACACAACAGAATTTCATGAAACCTTTTTAGATAATAAGGACATACTATGTAGATGTGCATATCGACAGGAAATTATGATTCAATTTTTTTTCTAGGAGTTACGTCCCTTTGAACTTATTTGCTTCAATGTACTTCTGCAACAGTTTGTCATCGCAACTCCTCTGAAACCACACAACATAATTTCATAAAACTTTGTAAATAATAAGGACATACTATGTAGATGTGCATATTGACAGGAAATTATGATTCAATTTTTTTTTCTTACACATATTTTATTTCTCCAATGACAATGTGGGGATGTGGGGTATGTGAGCGCGCTCACTAAGGTTCTTTAATTATTTCTATGTCCCCGCTGCTAGGCGACAGGGGCATTAAGATTTGCTCTTGTCTGTAATTGGTTTCCGTTCTCTAACTTCAGTTTACCTTAAACAAATGTTATGAAACTTATACACAATGCTTATAACCACCAAAAACAGATAAATTTCTAATTTGGCAGGTGTTACTTTCCTCGTTCTTTATTTATGTCCCTTAATAAATGGAAATATTGCTGAATTTGTCTTATATTTTAAAGCAGGAGCATCTGTTTCCCGTGGACACATATTTCTTTTATTAACCAGATTTCCAAAGGAAAATTTCGGTTATTATTCTGGTAATGTACGGTGGGCGGTAGGCCTGGCAGGTGGCTGCCAAACAGTGTCCGTGTAATAACTTGAAAACGCTTTGACGAAATCTTTTCATATTTAGATATATTGTTTCCTGTGACTAAATAAAGGTCAAGTTCAATTTTCCCAATTTAAGCATTTATTGTTGTTGAGTTGTAGACCTTTAAGTAGCCAAAAGTGATACTTAGAGTGTTGTCCGTGCAATAACTTGAAAACACTTTGATGAAATCTTTTCAAATTTAGATATCTTGACCATGCGATAACTTGAAAAGGCTTAGATGAAAATCTTGTGATACTTTGAAGAAACAAGACAACAAAGGTTTGAATTTGGGTTTCTGGAAAGTTATTGGAGTGACCACATGCCACAAGATTCTATGGTTTCATATTAAATAAGGTTATAATCTCATAAACATATTTCTTTCATTATTGACTTCATGATTTCTGCCTACCTACCCCTGCTGAACAAATGTGTGTGTACTTATATACTCTCTTAAATTCCAATATTTATGTCACTTATGATAAATAGGAGGTCATGACTGCAATGCATATAACATTTTCTGATATTAGATACATAAAAAGGATAACAGGAAATACTAGCAAATATATAGTACAACAGACAATACTAACCATACTCGAGTGAATAAGAATTTCTTAAGTACATTTCATCATATTATTTTTTTGCAGCTATTCCAGGAGACCAGTGTCTTGGTACAATATTAATGACTGTTGAGGGGAAAAGACGTAACATTCTTAATGGTAAACCTCTTCCTCTGTCTCCAAAGTCAACTCTAGCATGGATGGGGTAAGTATCATATTAAATAAGAGCCTCTCCCTCTGTCTCCAAAGTCAACTCGAGCATGGATGGGATAAGTATCATATTGAATAACAGCCTCTCCTTCTGTCTCCAAAGTCAACTCTAGCATGGATAGTGTGTGTATTGCATTGAATAAGAGCCTCTCTCTCTGTCTCCAAAGTCAACTTTAGCATGGATGGGGTAAGTATCGTATTAAATAAGAGCCTCTCCCTCTGTCTCCAAAGTCAACTTTAGCATGGATGGGATAAGTATCATATTAAATAAGAGCCTATCCCTCTGTCTCCAAAGTCAACTTTAGCATGGATGGGGTAAGTATCATATTAAATAAGAGCCTCTCCCTCTGTCTCCAAAGTCAACTTTAGCATGGATGGGATAAGTATCATATTAAATAAGAGCCTCTCCCTCTGTCTTTGGCTCTGTCTCCAAAGACAACTCGAGTATGGATGGGGTAAGTATTATATTGAATAACAGCCTCTCCCTCTTGTCTCCAAAGTCAATTCTAGCATGGATAGTGTAAGTATCGCATTGAATAAGAGCCTATCCCTCTGTCTCCAAAGTCAACCCTAGCATGGATGGGGTAAGTATCATATTGAATAAGCCTATCCCTGTGTAGACAACTCTGGCATGGATGGGATAAGCATCACCTTAAAAAAGAACCTCTTTCTCAGTCAATTCTAGTCAATTCTGGCATGTAAGGGTCAAGAATCATTAATTATGAACCTGTACACATGTCTCTTTAAACTCTTCCTTGATTGGAAATACTTTTAAGATGGTGAACCTTAAAAGTCAAGTCTTGCATCGACGAAGTAAGTGACACTGCAAATGGTGAGCATCTTCCCTTTTCTCCAAAATTAACATGGATATGGTTTTGGTAAGACTTATTATTAGTGGATGGGGAGACTCATTTAGGACCCACATCAAAGATGCAGAAGCCCTATGGTTTTCATTTTGTCTGTCGATAATTATTTGCATGCACCATCTCTCCTACAGTATGTTTTGAAATGCAAAAGACATTTCACAGTTGTTTAGCATTATTTAGAAATGTGTAGATTTGTTTTTCTTGAGTTATTGAATTTAACTTGTCAGGAAATTGTCAACAATTATGTTATCTTATATTATGCTTTGAAATAGAATGAAACAATTGCTTACCAATACCATCATGTAAGAGATATACTTACCTTTTTAATGAGTTCCAGATTAGTTCTGGACTGATATTGAAGTTATATTTTCACTTCTCATATCTGTCCATCAGACTGTCAGTTCATATTTTCACTATTTAACATATGCTTACCAGATATGTTTGCCTGAACCTGTGGAACCCACCCTGTTTAATTCAGGATAGCTTTTTATACCCCTGCTTTAAAAAAGTGGGGGTATACTGTTTTACCTCTGTCTGTCCATCCATATGTCAGTCTGTCCATCCGTCCCATGAATATTTTTTGTCGCATCTTTCTCAGGAACTACATCATAAGGATTTCTGAAATTTGGTTTCAGGGTTTATATAAGTCAGCTATACCGTGTGATGCGTTTTCAGATTCATCACTCAACAACTTCCTGTTTACCAAACACTTACATATTTTTACACTATTAAAATTATCCAGTTGCGACGGAGTATCATCAGTGAGCAGTAGCTCGCAGTTTCACTTGTTTACTGAGATTCAACTAAAAATGCTTCAAAGTAAGCTCTTATATTTGCAAAAACTGTTACTTATATGTCTGTTTTCTATTTATAAATTTCAAACCTCTCTACCTGTTTCTTTACTGTCAACTTTTTCAAGGATGGGCAAAGTATCATTATAAACGGTAAATGGTCCTTCTCTTGAAAGTACTTTTATTTTTTTGTCCACCTCGACAAGTAACAGAGGTGAGACTTATGCGTGTTGTTTCCAGTGGCAGCATCCACAATTTGATCAAGGTTGTATTAGGTCAGTTTAAGATTAACCACTAATGGTCAGACAAGAATATTTGGTATGCAATTGTATTAGCATACGTACATCTCATATCCTTATTAATCAATGAATTCATTTGATTATCCAAGAAATTTCTGTAGTATAATATTTAAGCTATAAAATGGTAAAAATTACTACAAATGTTCAGTACTATGGAAAGAACAATGAAGGGACATTTTGTTCTGAGTTTGTAGATGCTTGTGGGGTGTAAACTTGTTATATAGAGTTCTAATTTCTCATAGGTTTTTGTGTGTGTGTTTCATAAGTTAAATTTATTTTCAGATTTTCTGCAGAGGGAACTCCTTTTCATATGGACTCATTAGGTATTGTTAGAATGTTCAACAGAAATTTTGGACCCAACTGGATACAGGTTGCCAACACAAAGTCACATGTAAGTAAAGCAGAAACATTGATTTTATATACAAAAAACTATAGCAATATAATTATAGTTTGTATGGTTGTAAGATGGAAATAGTAATCAACTATGTACTAAATGTCTGCTACTGTTTCTAGTGTGCATGGCACTTCATTCTTCAGCATTCTTCAATATGCTCAATTTTCAGGTAGGCGGTAAAAGCAAAATTTTCTTCAATTCCTTTGCCCATATTGTAAACTTGGATATTTATGATAGCTTATTAAAGGGGCATTAGCTATGAGATATGAAAAAAATTAAATTTGATTTTTTTTTTTTTTCAATCTTTAATGAAAGTGAAAAAGTGAAAAATAATTCACTTTTAGAAGCCAGTTTTGGTTCAATTTTATCAAAATAAGCAAAGAAACTTTGCTGATGAATTATTCATTTGCAAGTGAATAATTGGACCTCATTGAATCCGTATTCATGTGACCTTCAATTTAACCCCTTAGCTAGAGTTGGGTTACACATGAATTAGGCGTGTTCAGTTAATAAAAGGAAAAGAATGTCAACATTGAAAGTGAAACAGGGGTAAACCATTTGATTGACTGATTATATCCACAAAAACTCATTCTTATACAGGAAAACATGATGATTAACGAGTTCGCTATCTATTTATATCTATATATATGTTTACATCGGATTATATGACCGTTGGCAGTCTTGGGAGGTCACCTTGATGGTTAATTAGATGGCGTCTAGACTAAAATACACACGAAATGCTGATACATATTATCGAGCCAATGCATTGTAAATTGTTTATTTTAGACTTTATAAATTGGATATACGTTGGATATACAATTTTTGCAAACCAAGAAGGGACTTATTTTATTCAGCTTTTTGAGCTTAAAAAACCCTATTTTCAAACCAAAAGTCTCCTGAAATTCAGTTTAATTTAATAATCATAGTTTTTCAATGGTTCTCTACTCTTCAAAACAGTACAAATGGTTAAAATCAGTTTAAAATGGCATCAATTCCAATATCAATGCACTTGAATTTTTTATTACATATTATAATTTAGTTTTTCACTTTGAGGCACATAATGGATATTGACCCAGATATGCCCAAGACTTAACATTATGTAGACAACCATTAAACATGTTAAAAAGCATCAAAAACAAAACAGACCTATAACGAACACAACTATATAAAATAATCAGTTAGCTATAGCTCACAAAGTATAAAAGTTACATACATTTTTAATTATCCATATGTAGTGAGACGTGCTCTTGTTGTTTGCTTACATACACGATATGGATAAAAGTAAGATTAGACTGATTGCAATGCAGTTTATGTTACTTTTCGCCCAAATCTCAAGCAAAAGTTTAATGATTATAGCAAATAGAAAATGATGTATTAGTAATTTATTAATGCTGTATCTGGGAATTAGGGTAATTGGTTTTGACTTATTTAAGAAAGCTTAACGTCCTGCAGCAAATTTAACATGCAGATCCAGCAAGATAAATGGTTTATCTTTGTTCTGAATGGGAAATACTCAAATAATTAGTGTACTAATTTTATTGGAATTTTGTATTTTCAGACAAAAGGCAAGTCAGATCACTACTGGATCGTAGGAGTTAATGAAAATCCACAACAGCTCAGGTTGGTCTCATTGATGAAATTATTACTATAAGACTTCATTCAATTAAATAGTTTATTAATGGACTGCCACACATCCAACAGGTAATGATGATTGTCATTGAAGTGGAGTCCTGGTATTATACCTTCAGTAATCTTAAGTGAAATAATATCACAATGAGGCTTCACAATTGTCTCTGAAGTAAGTTAGGAACAAAGACAGACAATTTTTATATCAAATATACTGTGGATTCATTATGATTCGTTGATTTTGTGGTAAAAAGTGAACCATGAATTTAAATTTTCAACAAAGTGCAAATATTTTAAATGATAGTATACAGACTTTAGCAAAACCACGAAATCCAATATCCACGAATATGCATTGTTTACCCAATCCATGAAAATTGATGCCCACGAATATAGATGAATCCACAGTATTAAAATAAAAATACTTATCACAGCTCATTGATCAACAGCCATATTATAGAAATTCATTCATCACATATTTATTGAAGTTTTGAGTCATCATTGACACCATTTATTGCATAATTGAAATAGAAATTTCCAGATGGGGATAACAGATGTATGTTTGGTGAAAGTTATAACATCCTTGAAAAACTATTATTGCAGTATCCTGATTTATTGTAGATGTATACCATGTAAAGGATCTAGATACCCACCTACTCTACCTCGTCCTGCAGTCTCAGTTCTACCTTTCCAGTTACCATTGTGTGAAATGCATACAGAAAAAAGTCAATATGAAGTAAGTTGTATTCAATTTTGTAATAAAAAAAAGTTCTTTGCAAAGTGTTGTCTAGAAAATGTGTAACATGCAAAACCATGTGAGTAAAATGGTAACACAAAAATATGTAAACTTGTAGCACATAGCAACATGTGTTCTATGTAAAAATGTAACACACAACAATTACAACGTAAGAATAAGGAGATGTGGTATGATTGCCAATGAGACATCTATTCACCAGAGTTCAAGTTACGAGAATGAAAGCAATTATAGGTCATTTTAAGGTCTTCAACAACAAGAAAAACCCATACTGTATAGTTGGCTATAAAAGACCCTGACATGAAAAATGTCAAACAATTCAAACGAAAAAATAATAACAGCCAAACAATTCAATTTGGCAAACAAATATGACAGACATGAACCAACGGCAAACACTGAATTACAGGCTCCTTACTTTGGACAGGCACATTGAGTATGTGGTGGGGTTAAACATGTTTGTGAGCATTCCACCATTGGACAGTGGTGTAATAAGTATGGTATGAATTAAGTCTTTGTGTAAGAACGGAAGTGGCAAAAAAGTGAGACATAGGGATTGCTGTTACATCGCTGGCTGCAGCAACTGCGTCAACTATTGTTAAGTTTTCTGCTTAAGTTAGTTTGATAGGAACTACTTGTGATAGATCATTGATATTTTTTACGAAGATGTATTACTATCAGTACATACCAGTTTGACAACAATTTTGAGGCCCTGCCCCCTAGGCCATGGTCCAGTGACTTTGAATTAATTAGCCATTTTAAATGTTAAGTTTTCTGCTTAAGTTAGATTGATAGGAACTACTGGTGATAGATAAATGATATTTTGTGTAAAGTTGCATTACTATCAGTACATATCAGTTTGAAGACTATTTTGAGGCCCTGCCCCCTAGGCCATGGTTCAGTGACTTTCAATTAATTAGCAGTTTTCAATGATAAAGTTTTCTGCTTAAGTTAATTTGATATGAACTACTTGCGATAGATCAATGATATTTTTTATAAAGTTGCATTACTATCAGTACATATCAGTTTAACGACTACTTCAAGGCCCTGCCCCCTAGGTTATTGTCCAGGGTCTTTCAATCAATTAACGATTTTCAATGTTAAGTTTTCTGATTAAGTCAGTTTGATAGGAATTACTTCAATAGACAATATTTTTCTATAAAGTTACATTACTGTCTGTACATCTCAGTTTGTCAACCATTTCGAGATCCTACCCACTAGTTGGTCCAGCGACTTGGAATTAATTAGCAATGTTGCTGTCCATCAGATTGTTTCTTTTTTAGCTCACCTGGCCCAAAGGGCCAAGTGAGCTTTTCTCATCACTTGGCGTCCGTCGTCCGTAAACTTTTACAAAAATCTTCTCCTCTGAAACTACTGGGCCAAATTTGACCAAACTTGGCCACAATCATCATTGGGGTATCTAGTTTAAAAAATGTGTCCGGTGACCCGACCAACCAACCAAGATGGCCGCCATGGCTAAAAATAGAACATAGGGGTAAAATGTAGATTTTGGCTTATATCTCTGAAACCAAAGCATTTAGAGCAAATCTGACATGGGGTAAAATTGTTTATCAGGTCAAGATCTATCTGCCCTGAAATTTTTAGACCAATCAGGCAACACGTTGTTGGGTTGCTGCCCCTGAATTGGTAATTTTAAGAAAATTTTGCAGCTTTTGGTTAGTATCTAGAATATTATTATAGATAGAGATAAACTGTAAACAGCAATAATGTACAGCAAAGTAAGATCTACAAATAAGTCAACATGACCAAAATTGTCAATTGACCCCTTAAGGAGTTATTGCCCTTTATAGTAAATTTTTTACAATTTTCATGTATTTTGTAAATTTTTGTAAATTTTTACAAAATATTTTCCACTGTAACTACTGGGCCAAGTTCATTATAGATAGAGATAATAGTAAGGAACAAGAATGTTCAGTAAAGTAAGATCTACAAACACATCACCATCACCAAAACACAACTTTGTCATGAATCCATCTGTGTCCTTTGTTTAATATGCACATAGACCAAGGTGAGCGACACAGGCTCTTTAGAGCCTCTAGTTTTATTTTATGCCGATAGGCAAGACATATCTCTGTGTCAACAGTTTATTCTATTGCCATTTGTGCAGTATATATCTCATTGTTTGCTGTATTTAAACAGCTGAAGTCATTCTTTTTAATGATTATTTAGCTTCTGTGTGCATAGCATGTTATATGTAAAGAAATAATCTGTTAATACTGTTTGTAGTGTTTGAGAAAATTAACACATCGTTTTAAAAACTGCATATATATTTTTCCATTATTACTGCCTGTTCCTTTAAATATTATAATTACATACAACACTGATAAGAATGAGAACACATCAAACAGATGCCATGACATATGTATATATATATTGTTTACTTGCCAGAAGATTTAATTGATAGTTATATATCTAATTTTTTTTTTAAAGGAAACCTTCTTCAGAACTCATCTATTTGCCAACCATTTTGACCACTGGACATCACAGGGATTTGAGTTTGATGGTGGATTGAAACATGAAGCATTAAAACCTTCACAAGAGGCTCTAATGAAATTGTTTGCTGTAAGTAATTCAGTGGTGTACATGTATTGTGAATGGAACTTATTTTATTAATATTGGCACAAATATTTATTTTCCAGCAATTTTCTAACCAATAGTGAGATGTGAAACATACTCCACTCAAGCAGCCTTCATTGAATCATTTACTTTTAGTTGGTCAATATAGAAATAATGACATGAGGAATCATTCTTTAAGCTTATGAATAAAAGGAGTTGTGGAGCATAGCATCAAAACAATGCAAAAAAATTAAGAGGACACCATACTGTCTTCAAAATTTGACAAGAGTCTATAACATATATCAAGCTTTAAATATCCCCTGACTTGTGAAAAGTACAGTCATATTTAGTATTATTTAAAAGATTATAAAAGAATTGCCATTACCACCAACAGAGACAGAAAATGCTTAGACAACCACTGACAAAGAAGTGAAACAGATACATTAGCAAATCGCAGAGTTAAAGAAGCTTTTTTTTTTGTACTCAACCCTTCAAATTTTTTTCTCGATCAGTGGATCAACAAAAATTACAAGGGAGAACATACGATAAAAACAGGACTGAAAACCCTATTGTCATGTCAAATACAAATAAATAGTTGTGTGTGATGGAAAGAGCAGTTTATTTGCTATTCTTCATACTATAGTATAATAATCATAAATAATTTTGATTTTAGCTGTCAGCCAGATCAGAGCGAGAATTCCGAGCATTGGAAGTATGTGAGATGATGCCAGACGAGCACACTCTACAGTTAGCCATTAAATATGCAAGTCGACTTAAACACATACAATTGGCAGAGAGAATCAGTGAGTTGGCAATGAGAAAGTCTGAGGAAACAGCACAAGAAGAAGACATCGAAGAAGAGCAAGAAGATTTCAGAACAGAAATGTACAATCAGTGAGGAATATTTTATAATAATTAGATATTCACATAGAAATTTTAGTTTAATGGAGTCATTTGTTTGGAAGGGGGTATATTTGAATTGATATATATTAGTGTTGTCAAAGGTTAACCAGTTAACCGTCAGAAGGACCAAATATGGAATACCCAAAAAGCTAACCGGTTAACTGGACTATTTTCCATTTAAATAGATTTGATATTAAAGTGTATTAAAATCAATAATGCATTTTGTTGAATTTTAAAATGATCGTCTTGCTACTAAATTAGATAGATCAATTGTCCAGTATTTTGATTACCATTGTTAATCTAGAAAACATTACAAAATTAATTAGCACAAAGACAACTTGTCTATCAGCTTTGGGCAAAACCTTAAGTAAACATAATTAGCATACATGTATTTTGAACAGTTATAAGCTGAATAATTTCACTTTGATTTAATATTGTGTAGACCTACATTCAAATATGCCATCTCTATTTTCAAAGACATTTTCATACTTTAAACGAAGTACTGACTCAAAAATGGTAGTATTGGATTATTAAAAGTAAAACTTAACCAGGAATGCTCAAAGCCAAGCCTTATAATGCCCAAGGATAAACTTCAATTAATCGTACCAAAAACCTTGCATTTGTAGAGTACTGTAGATCAGGCTTTTTAACATCAACTTTACTATCTCCTAACCGGTTAATCGGTCGAAAGATTATCCAAGTAGCTGGTTGGGCAAAACTTCTATTTGACAACACTAATATATATAATAATATAGCATTTATTAAATTATATAGGCTGTTCTTGTATTGTTATCATGATTAATTACATTTACTGTAAAACATTTGACACACTAAAATTCAATGGCAACACACTTTTTCAAGCTACAATTTTAATTCCTTTCCTTTAACTTATTATAACCCCGCTTTAAAAAAGTGGGGTATACTATTTTACCTCTCTGTTCGTCCGTCCATCCTTCCCATGAATATTTTTCCTTGCATCTTTCTCAGGAAATACATCATAAGGATTTCTGAAATTTGGTTTCAGGGTTTATATAAGTCAGCTATAGTGTGTGATGTGTTTTCAGATTCATCACTCAACAACTTCCTGTTTACTGAGAACTTGCATATTTTTACACTATTAAAATTATCCAGTTGCGGCGGGGTATCATCAGTGAGCAGTAGCTTGCAGTTTCACTTGTAATTTGTATGCTTTGCTTTTACCAAATGTTATGAAACTTATAACCCTTTATAAATTAAAAAAATGCTGAATTAGCTGTATATTTACAAGCGAGGGCATCTGTGTCCCATGGACACAATCTTTTATTTTTAAAGAAACAAATTAATGCTTCAAATTGTTGTTTATGTGTTGATTATTGTAGACATAACCATGTTGAAACAGAATGGTCACATACCAATGGTAATACACAAGATGAAGAGGAAGAGCCTGCCATATCTGGTATATTTTATATTTTTAAGTAATTTTTATATGCCCATTAACAGGACCTATTATGGTATACTGTTGTCCGTCCATCCGTCTGTCCGTCCGTCAGTTGTCAACATGTCGGACAATAACTCAAAAACGCTTAATCCAATTTATATGAAACTTTGGTGAATTGTTTATATCTATTGACTTGAGCTCCCTTTCAATTTTTATGAATTTTAGATTTTAAGTTTCCGAGTTATGTTTTTTTTTCATTAAAAAGGGGGTATTTTACAGTTTTCGGACAATAACTCATAAAGGCTTTGAGCAGTTTTCATGAAACTTCAGTGAATTGTTTATACCTATTGACATAAGCTCCCTTAAGATTTTTATAAATTTTAGATTTTATGTTTCCGAGTTATGGGATTTTATTTATAAAAAGGGGTGATTTTCCAGTTTTCGGACAATAACTCAAAAGTGCTTTGAGCAGTTTTCATGAAACTTTGGTGACTGGTTTATATCTATTAAAACAACCTCCCTTTAGTTTTTTATAAATTTCTGATATGACAGCTAGGAGTTATTGAACTTCATTCTTTGAAAAAGCGACGGGCGTATCATGCACTCATGGCGCAGCTGTTTATTGGTCAAGTTGAACTCTGTCCACTGTGCAGCATGGTGTGAAATATTAGTTGGGTGCACATGCCGGGAGAACTTTGGTGTAATTAACTCCTGCAACAGTTTTCATAATAGAGAGTGTTTAAACTTGCCACAATGAATATCACTTTGTGTACACATTTGGAGAATTATTGCAGATTTTCCAAATAGTGAAACTTATTTCATTTTTTTGCATATTTTTTTTTGAAAGGTATTCATTTTGTCTAAAGGTATTATCTTACAATTTTCATTCTTGAGCCTTCAAACGTTGTAGAATTTGTTTGTATACAATGAAGTTTTAAGTCTCACTTTATATACCTATTTGATTGATTGTTTGTTGTTTAATGCCTAGTTCCAAATATTTCCTGCATGTTCAGGACAATATACACATTTGAAGAATATTCTCAAAGATTATTAATATAAGTCCAGTCCTACATAGAAACGATTTTTCCTAAACATAAAGGCAGTGCAAAAACTAAAACTAAAAAATATAAAAAGGAAAATTTATTAGCAATTTAAGATTGCCAAACTCTTTCAAACCTTCAAATGTTTGTAAAAAGGTTTTTACTCTTCATTAAGATAAGTATAATGATATTTATTTGGGCTGAGTTGCGATGAATTCAAACTAGGAATATAGTATGATAAATGGCATCTGGGTATCCTGACATCAACATTACAGTTGCTGAACAAAATCCTTTGAGTTGTTGACAATATCTTTACGAAACTAGGTTGGACAATGCCCCAATTGGCTGAGGTAGACTGCAACTGAATTAGGGTCAAAAGTTTAGATCACAGCAGCTATTGATAGACTGAAATTTAGAGACATAGTTTCCAAATATTATATTTTGAACCCATGTCCAACTTTTTACCAAAATTAATTTTGAGGTCAAAGGTGAACTTCACAACATATCTTCATATTTCATCCTCCAGATATTAAGTCACCATAACCTACCTTGGTTTGGTTTTGCCTTTGAAGTACATTCTTTAGAAAAGCACCATAGTTAATTAATATTTCATCTCTATATTCCTCGTAAATAGTTAAACATACAGTCAACCCTGCAATAACGGTCACCTCGTTTCAGCGGTCACCTGCCTCCAACGGCCACTTTCATACCCTCTCAAACGTTTTCTCTATATAATTTAACTCAAATCAGCGGTCACCTATTTGTAGCACGAAATCTCCATTTCAACTTTTAACAAAGGTCATTTTAATTTTTCAACTACCGAAATAATCATGACAAAAAATAAATGTCTTCAGTATCGAAATCTGTTTGCAACCGAGATTGAGCAATATGAGGTGAATTCATGAATTCCTCGTGTCCTACTCCCTTCTGTTTCCATTGAAAACCATGTCACCGACTTATTTCTCCAAGAATATTAAAATATTTCAAATGTTTTCTTCAAATTTACAGCTGGAATCTGCCATTTTTAGCTCACCTGGCCCGAAGGGCCAAGTGAGCTTTTCTCATCACTTGGTGTCCGTCGTCCGTCGTCGGCGTAAACTTTTTACATTTTGAACTTCTTCTAGAGAACCACTGAATGGAATGAAACCAAACATGGCATGAATGTTCCTTATGAGGTGCTGACCAAGTGTTGTTACTTTGTAGCGGATCCATCATCCAAGATGGCCGCCAGCGGGGGACTTAGTTTAACATAGGACCCTATGGGAAATACATACAAATGTCTTCTTTTAGAGAACCACTGAATAGAATGAAACCAAACATGGCATGAATGTTTCTTATGAGGTGCTGACCGAGTGTTGTTACTTTTAAGCTGATCCATAATCCAAGATGGCCGCCAGCGGGGGACTTAGTTTAACATAGGACCCTATGGGAAATACATACAAATGTCTTCTTTTAGAGAACCACTGAATGGAATGAAACCAAACATGGCATGAATGTTCCTTATGAGGTGCTGACCGAGTGTTGTTACTTTGAAGCTGATCCATAATCCAAGATGGCCGCCAGCGGGGGACTTAGTTTAACATGGGACCCTATGGGAAATACATACAAATGTCTTCTTTTAGAGAACCACTGAATGGAATGAAACCAAACATGGCATGAATGTTCCTTATGAGGTGCTGACCAAGTGTTGTTACTATGAAGCTGATCCATAATCCAAGATGGCCACCAGCAGGGGACTTAGTTTAACATTGGACCCTATGGGAAATACATACAAATGTCTTCTTTTAGAGAACCACTGAATGGAATGAAACCAAACATGGCATGAATGTTTCTTATGAGGTGCTGACCGAGTGTTGTTACTTTGAAGCCGATCCATAATCCAAGATGGCCGCCAGCGGGGGACTTAGTTTAACATAGGACCCTACGGGAAATACATACAAATGTCTTCTTTTAGAGAACCACTGAATGGAATGAAACCAAACATGGCATGAATGTTCCTTATGAGGTGCTGACCAAGTGTTGTTACTATGAAGCTGATCCATAATCCAAGATGGCCGCCAGCAGGGGACTTAGTTTAACATTGGACCCTATAGGAAATACATACAAATGTCTTCTTTTAGAGAACCACTGAATGGAATGAAACCAAACATGGCATGAATGTTTCTTATGAGGTGCTGACCGAGTGTTGTTACTTTGAAGCCGATCCATAATCCAAGATGGCCGCCAGCGGGGGACTTAGTTTAACATTGGACCCTATGGGAAATACATACAAATGTCTTCTTTTAGAGAACCACTGAATGGAATGAAACCAAACATGGCATGAATGTTCCTTATGAGGTGCTGACCGAGTGTTGTTACTTTGAAGCTGATCCATAATCCAAGATGGCCGCCAGCAGGGGACTTAGTTTAACATGGGACCCTATGGGAAATACATACAAATGTCTTCTTTTAGAGAACCACTGCATGGAATGAAACCAAACATGGCATGAATGTTTCTTATGAGGTGCTGACCAAGTGTTGTTACTATGAAGCTGATCCATAATCCAAGATGGCCGCCAGCAGGGGACTTAGTTTAACATAGGACCCTATGGGAAATACATACAAATGTCTTCTTTTAGAGAACCACTGAATGGAATGAAACCAAACATGGCATGAATGTTTCTTATGAGGTGCTGACCGAGTGTTGTTACTTTGAAGCCGATCCATAATCCAAGATGGCCGCCTGCAGGGGACTTAGTTTAACATGGGACCCTATGAGAAATACATACAAATGTCTTCTTTTAGAGAACCACTGAATGGAATGAAACCAAACATGGCATGAATGTTCCTTATGAGGTGCTGACCAAGTGTTGTTACTATGAAGCTGATCCATAATCCAAGATGGCCGCCAACAGGGGACTTAGTTTAACATTGGACCCTATGGGAAATACATACAAATGTCTTCTTTTAGAGAACCACTGAATGGAATGAAACCAAACATGGCATGAATGTTTCTTATGAGGTGCTGACCGAGTGTTGTTACTTTGAAGCCGATCCATAATCCAAGATGGCCGCCAGCGGGGGACTTAGTTTAACATAGGACCCTACGGGAAATACATACAAATGTCTTCTTTTAGAGAACCACTGAATGGAATGAAACCAAACATGGCATGAATGTTCCTTATGAGGTGCTGACCAAGTGTTGTTACTATGAAGCTGATCCATAATCCAAGATGGCCGCCAGCAGGGGGCTTAGTTTAACATTGGACCCTATAGGAAATACATACAAATGTCTTCTTTTAGAGAACCACTGAATGGAATGAAACCAAACATGGCATGAATGTTTCTTATGAGGTGCTGACCGAGTGTTGTTACTTTGAAGCCGATCCATAATCCAAGATGGCCGCCAGCAGGGGGCTTAGTTTAACATTGGACCCTATAGGAAATACATACAAATGTCTTCTTTTAGAGAACCACTGAATGGAATGAAACCAAACATGGCATGAATGTTTCTTATGAGGTGCTGACTGAGTGTTGTTACTTTGAAGCTGATCCATAATCCAAGATGGCCGCCAGCGGGGGACTTAGTTTAACATGGGACCCTATGGGAAATACATACAAATGTCTTCTTTTAGAGAACCACTGCATGGAATGAAACCAAACATGGCATGAATGTTTCTTATGAGGTGCTGACCAAGTGTTGTTACTATGAAGCTGATCCATAATCCAAGATGGCCGCCAACAGGGGACTTAGTTTAACATGGGACCCTATGGGAAATACATACAAACGTCTTCTTTTAGAGAACCACTGAATGGAATGAAACCAAACATGGCAAGAATGTTCCTTATGAGGTGCTGACCAAGTGTTGTTACTTTGAAGCTGATCCATCATCCAAGATGGCAGCCAGCGGGGGACTTAGTGTAACATAGGACCCTATGAGAAATACATACAAATGTCTTCTTTTAGAGAACCACTGAATGCAATGAAACCAAACATGGCATGAATGTTCCTTATGAGGTGCTGACCAAGTGTTGTTACTATGAAGCCGATCCATAATCTAAGATGGCCGCCAGATGGGGACAATGTTTAACAAAGGACCCTATGGACAATACATACAAATGTCTTCTTTTAGAGAACCACATACTGAATGGATTGAAACCAAACATGGCATGAATGTTCCTTATGAGGTGCTGACTAAGTTTTGTTACTTTGAAGCTGATCCTTCATCCATGATGGCCGCCAATGGGGGGACTTCCTTTAACATAAGACCCTATGGGAAATACATACAAATGCTTCTTCTAGAGGTGCACTGAATGGAATGAAACCAAAACATGGCATAAATGTTTCTTATGAGGTGCTGATTAAGTGTTGCTACTTTGTTGCCGATTTACTGTTCAAGATGGCCACCAGGATTTTTTTATTAAATTACAGGACCAATATTGAACCAAATTTGGCCTCACTCATTATTAGGGTATCTGTTATGATTTTAATCTATTTTTACATGATTTCCAAAACCAAAGTAGAATTAGGTGAGCGACACAGGCTCTTGAGAGCCTCTAGTTTTTAATTCACTGACGCAAGAACCATAACTCTACAGATGGATAACACTAAAACAATTTGGCCTGATCCTGACCATAGGTGATGTTGGAATAAGAATTTTTTTCGGAACCTCATTTTAAAGGTCACCTCTCTTGAATGGTCACTTTTGATACTTCCGAAAAGTGACTGCTTAATACAGGTTCGGCTGTAGTTCTATAAACAAGAAGTTTGGTTGTTAATGTCATTTATGATTTAGAATAGATAGAGGGAAAAGATTTCTTCATATACAGATATTATCATTTTTATTTTCAGGTCCGATGTTGAACATTAAAGAGAGAGAAGAAAAACCTGCAAGACCTTCATTTTTGTCTCAAGGAAGATCAAATCCTTTCAAGGTCATATTTGAAAATATAATATTTCTAAACATTCTTAGAATCCTATATGTATTTTATAGTTTAATTGATCTATTATAAAAAAAACAGTGACCAGTATATATGAAATTAACAGAAATCAGTGATAATTTGATACCCCAATTTAGTTTATTTCTGGTATTCAGTTACTGTGGATTCACTATTATTGAGGGGTACTAATTTTTGTTGGTTTTAATGAACCACAAATTCAAGTGTTTAAGGAAATTCCATCTTTCCTAACTCTTGTATGCAGAATTTGACACAATCAGCTTAGTAGTAGACCAACAAGCTCAGCCAGATTTTTGGGTAAAGAATGAAATGCAATCAAAACCGTATTATCACTGACTTGATAGGTATATTTTCCATGCCTCATCTCTACCTTTGAGAGCTGAAAGAACAAAGTGCAGTGAGGTGAACATTCTTTAGATCCTATCCATGTCCATGTCAAGTAATTATTAATTATATATGCTCAGATATTTAAGTTATGAAATAATGTGTATGTGTATAATCATACTTGTCAAGAATTTGAAATTTACAGAAGTATTGTATGGTGTATGAATCTATCTAAGGAGGATAACTCAAATTCAAAATATTGCCTAAATATGTATGCAATGATTAATTTTAAGGTCATATTGCAAATGAAAGCAATCTTTACTTTTCAATACTCTTGTGCACTTTGATTAGATAAGCTATCTAACAGTCTGCAACAAAACTTATTACCCTACCAGGACATTTTTTTTATTTTCAGCTTACCAGTTTTTTGCTCTTACTCCAAAAACAGCTTACATGAAAGCAGCAAATTTGAATTTTAAATCCATTGTTTTGAGTAGGGCTGTTCCAAAACTGACCATGGTAGGGTTGCAATCAAAATAATTATTTGTGGGTGGTTGCATTTTCCTTAGAACTTTTATAGAGTTATAAGTATAATAAAAATTGTATGGGTAGGTAGGGCCTAAAAAAAGTGCCTTCCATGTACCCCATACATATGTTTAATTCTGGAACAGTCCTAAGCAGAAAAGTAAAGAATAAATCTTGGGAAGACACACTTTTAACCAAAAAGTGCTAAGGAATTATATTGCTGATGTTTAAAAGCGCCTATCATTAATAACAGTGTTATACTTGTTATCTCTTATAGGTTTCATCATCTCAACAGAAGTCAACTGGAGGAAGCAGTAGAGGAACACAAGTCTTTGATGCTATGAGTAAAAAGAAACCAGAGAAAGTTGCTCCGCAAGTCATCATAAAAAATTCTAAACCTGTACTGAAAAAGGTTTGCTCTTAATAGTTTAAAAAAAGGGGGGGGGGATAAAGATATCTGAGTAAGTTTTAACATTGAGTAGCTTTTACAGAAATTATGAATTTTTTACTATTGAAAAAATATTGCAGTAAGAAAATGGCACTACAATGAGCACTTCATATACACATACATAGGTCGTTACATTGTATTGCCTTCATTTACACCTAATGTTGTCTGATTAGAAATATTTCAAAATAAGAACTTGTCAAAGGCTATTCATATGAGCTTGTAGAGGACCTTAAACCTTTCTTTGTTGGCATTAAAAACAGTATCTCATAAAAATTACATATATTATTATAGTAATAATTAATAGGTGTTTTCATAATGACCCTGTTATATGTCCAAGGTCAGTATTAATGGCCTTGGAAACTGTAATGATCCTGGACATTAACTCGGACAATTACAGACTCCCTCAGACAATTATTACAGACCTGGGCAATAGGAGGGACATATAATAGGGCCATTATGAAATCACAGTTATTTGAGTAGAGTGATCTGTGAAAACGGTTAGTCATTTTGAATTTTTTGTTGTTTCATAATGACCCTGTAATAATGCTTTAATATTGATTCACTTATAGGGTCTTTGCATCGGAATTAACACATTTATTCTAAAACCAGTTGTTGGCATGACACGGGTTATGTTCTTCTCATATATTTTATGACGGTATAATACTAAACCCCTAACAGGAGGGATTGTGCCTGATATTCATATGATGAAGACATAATCTTTCAATCAGTTTAATTGAGATCTGGAGCTGACATGTCAGTAACTGCTAGTAGTCTGTTGTTATTTATGTATTATTGTCATTTTGTTTATTTTCTTTTGTTTCCTATTCTGGCATCGGACTCTGACTTCTCTTATACTGAGTTTTACTGTGCGTACTGTTGTGCGTTTGTTTTTTCTACATTGGCTAGAGGTATAGGGGGAGGGTTGAGATCTCATCAAACATGTATAACCCCGCTGCATTTTTGCGCCTGTCCCAAGTCAGGAGCCTCTGGCCTTTGTTAGTCTTGTATCATTTTTAATTTTAGTTTCCTGTGTATAATTTGGAGTTTAGTATGACTCCATTATCACTCAACTAGTATACTTATTTGTTTAGGGGCCAGCTGAAGGACGCCTCCGGGTGCGGGAGTTTCTCGCTTTATTGAAGACCCATTGGTGGCCTTCAGCTGTTGTCTGCTCTATGGTCGGGTTGTTGTCTCTTTGACACATTCGCCATTTACATTCTCAATTTTATCTGTTGGCTGTAATAGGAACCGTTTCCATTTTTATTCAAATTGGGCATTTGAGCAATAATTTATCCTGTTGGTTGATAAAAATTAAGGAAAAAAGATAGTATTGTAGAAATAGTAATAATACATTATGCTAATAAAAAATCTTTTTTTTTTAAGAGTTCATCTTCACAACAAAAGCTGTTAACAGCAAAGAAATCTGAAAAAGAAGAAATGTCTAAAACTCCTACAGCTCCAAGTACAAAGTAAGATATATTAAAAAATGTGCAAAACTGCCACTGTTCTAAATACAAAGTAAAATATTAACATCATCATTGAAAGATACATTGTATACTAGATTCTCTTAGCTATTCATGTTTTCTTATATCTAGGTCTTGAACATACTTCACATGGCAAAATTTAAATGAATGATTTGAGTTTTAAAGTAGTGATACCAAAATAAATATTTGGAAGATTTTAGTTTCTTGTATCAATAAATGATATTTCTTCAAACGTACTTTTTCAATGCCAAATCATATTTTTAAATAGTTTGACAGGATTACTTTATACAATGTGTAGTGATGCACTTTTTATCTTATTTCTTGATATTTAATTTGGTAGTTTTGTAGAGCATTTTAGGAAATTTTGTAAATTTAAAATGAGGGAAATGACAAAATTGAAAATTTATGCAGATAAGATATTATGAATAGTTGCTGTCTTTCAGAACAAACGTGGAGAAATGAGATTAATGGGGATTATACCCCATAAAAGGTTTGAAACTTTCACATGATTATGAGATTATTGTATATGTCTTTCATATTTTTATAGAACAGCATCAGCATTTGATTTGTGGTATGAGGATAATAAGACAGAATTATTAGATGAGTTCCCAGACTTGTCTGAAGAAGACCTAACTCAAGTAGCAACCGAAAGATTTAGAGAATTATCAAAAGAGCAGAGACAGGTAGCTTCAAAACTTTTTTTGTTGTGATTTTTCAATTTAAAGCAGAAAATCAAGTTTAATACATTTAGGAATATAGCACCTTAAAGCAGTTTTCCCTGAATTATTTCAGGAAAGATAACTTGCCTTTAAAAATTTAAACTGAGAAGAAGTACTTGATGTCAAATATCAGAATATATAAAAGTTGAGGAAGCTACACATGGGTGCATGTTAAAGTAGATACAATAAATCCTGATTGCAGAAAGTTAAGCATAAAATACATTTTATTTCTTTTTGGTCCAAATTTTGTAAAAATTATAACAAAGTGATATATTCTGTGCAATGTCAATTTCATGTCCTGTCACATTTCTTCACATTTTGGGATGGAAAATAAGTTTTATTTCTGTTTTAGTATTTTAATTGCTATCATTATAGCCATCATTAGCTTGAGTATAAAAACACTAAGATCAGTTTCAAAAGAAAATATAAGCTTTATTTTTATCGACAAGAAAACTTTGAAGGGCTTGGTAAACCTCATTGGTTACAAGTTTCTAAGCCTGAACAAAAAAGTTGATATTTTTCAGGCATTGAAGTAATATTTTATAAATAAACACACTGTGTAACAGACCTGTATTAAAAAATTTAACTCAAGGGAGACTTTTTTTAGACTCCCAACAATCCATAATATAAAGTTTTTCATTTTACTTATAATTCTTGCAAATTCTAAGGAAAATGCAACCACTTACAATTAATTAATTTTAGTGCCTCCCATCACTGCTTGTGCTTTGTTACAACAGGGTGCATGATTGTAGTGTCAGGTTTCAAACGAAAAGGTGGATTGTATGGTGTGATTTGTTTACAAGTTAAGATTCTACAGAATGGTTCCACTGCAAAATATAGAAGATTTTAAATGTTACATGGTTTCAGGTAATTTTCATTGATTAATAATTAATACTATTAATCCATTGTTCTTTCCTGTCTAATATAGGAATGGTTGCAGAAAGCAAAACAGTTAAAATCTGAGAACACAGAAAACACAGACAATAAAAAGAGAAAAAGAGATGAAGATTCAGACTCTGCTTCAAAAAAGAAAAAAGAAATCTCAAAGCCTTTATCATCAAACTCTAACACTAAACTAGCTGGGTTTGCATTCAGTAAAGAATGATTTTTGAATAAAAGCTGATTTTTTAACAAAAATTATAAAACAAATTTGTGTACAAAACTGTCTAATATAATACTTTGCAGCCGTATTTGTGTGTCATTTTTTTTCCACACTAATGTGGCTGAAAATGAGATATGTGTCCATGTCATTAATTCTTTGATTTAAGCTTTATTTATTTCAGAAGGTCGTAATTTTGATAAGCTATATCTTTTATACAAATGTCATTAAATCTTGGATTATTTGTTGTTTTGGTTATCTTTTCTGTTGATAATATAACCTGTAGAATTATTTGTTATATGTTTTAAAACTCCATTTTCATGTTCTTTGATTAATTTGAAATTTTTATAATTAATTTGTATTTTCAATTACTATGAATAAGTTGTATGTGTAGGTTTGATAGGATTTGACCCATGGTTCATTGTTCATTGAACACTATTTATTTTTTCTGCTTATGTTAGTTTTTCAGTTACTAAGTTCAACTGTATTTGTTTTATAGAATCATTGTATAATTAAATTTCTGTTTGACAGGTGTCACCTGTCCTTGATATCTTTTTCATGGTTCATTGATTCACATGCATTGTTTTTTATTCCCCATTTTAAGTTAGACATAATATGGATAGTCAGTTATTTTTATCTGGTCACTATGCGACTGGACGTTAAGCAACCAACAATCATCATAGCAACTACATGTCATAGCTTATTGATACATGGCACCAAGCTTTAGACAGTGTTATACTTTATGAGGAAATGCTCACAGTACATATTTTTTAAACATGGGCATACAGGATAACTGTGATCAATTAGACTTTCAACATAATATGTCATGATCAATTATACAGGCAAGCTGTATCAGTATGTCTACTATTGTTGCATCAAAGAATTGACAAAAGATTAATTGCAATTTTTGCTATGTTGATATATTATTTATTTTTGAATATTGTTATATTACATATTTTTAAGATTACATTTATATATTTAAAGTAAGTATTCTTCTGTTAAATCTGTCAAGGCTATTACCCTTGGGAACTGGAGGCATTTTTTGATGAAAACAAAATTGAATACTGTGGATTCATTAATATTCGTTGGATACTAATTTTCGTGGATTTCGTGGGTACAGGGGAACCACGAATTTAAATGTTCAACGAATTACAAATTTTCTTTAGGAATGTATGCAGACTTTGCCAAAACCACGAATTTAAATATCCACGAATATGCAAGTTTTCCTCAATCCACGAAAATTGGTACCCACGAAAATAAATGAATCCACAGTATGTTTTATAGAAATGTTCAATTTTATAGATTGAATTCTAGATCCTGTAGAGTAAAGTTCAGACAGTGTTACTGCATATATTTATTTAAATTGCTGCAATACATGTACTATCAGATGTGCTAACAAAATAAACATTCATTTGAATCCTATTTTTAGCTCACCTGACCTGAAAGGTCAAGTGAGCTTTTCTCATCACTTGGCGTCCGTCGTCCGTAAACTTTTACAAAAATCTTCTCCTCTGAAACTACTGGGCCAAATGCACCCAAACTTAAACACAATCATCATTCAAGTATCTAGTTTAAAAAATGTGTCCGATGACCCCACCTGCCAACCAACATGGCTGACATGGCTAAAAATAGAACATAGGGGTAAAAATGCAGTTTTTGGCTTATATCTCTGAAACTAAAGCATTTAGAGCAAATCTGACTGGGTAAAAATGTTCATCAGGTTAAGATCTATCTGCCCTGAAATTTTCAGATGAATCGGACAACCCGTTGTTGGGTTGCTGCCCCTGAATTGGTAATTTTAAGGAAATTTTGCTGTTTTTGGTTATTATCTTGAATATTATTATAGATAGAGATAAACTGTAAACAGCAATAATGTTCAGCAAAGTAAGATCTACAAATAAGTCAACTTGACCAAAATGGTCAGTTGACCCCTTAAGGAGTTATTGCCCTTTATAGTCAATTTTTAACCATTTTTCGTAAATTTTTGTAATCTTTTACAAAAATCTTCTCCTCTGAAACTACTAAGACAAATTTAACCAAACTTGTCCACAATCATCATTAGGGTATCTAGTTTAAAAAATGTGTCCGATGACCCTGCCCGCGAACCAAGATGGCCAACATGGCTAAAAAATAGTACATAGGGTAAAATGCAGTTTTTGGCTCATATCTCTGAAACCAAAGCATTAAGAGCAAATCTGATGATGATAAAATTGTTCATTAGGTCAAGATCTATCTGCCCTGAAATTTTCAGATGAATCGGACAACCCATTGTTGGGTTGCTGCCCCTGAATTGGTAATTTTAAGGAAATTTTGCCGTTTTTGGTTATTATCTTGAATATTATTATAGATAGAGATAAACTGTAAACAGCAATAATGTTCAGCAAAGTAAGATCTACAAATAAGTCAACTTGACCAAAATGGTCAGTTGACCCCTTAAGGAGTTATTGCCCTTTATAGTCAATTTTTAACCATTTTTCGTAAATTTTTATCATTTTTTACAAAAATCTTCTCCTCTGAAACTACTAAGACAAATTTAACCAAACTTGTCCACAATCATCATTAGGGTATCTAGTTTAAAAAATGTGTCCTATGACCCCATCCGCGAACCAAGATTGCCGACATGGCTAAAAAATAGTACATAGGGTAAAATGCAGTTTTTGGCTCATATCTCTGAAACCGAAGCATTTAGAGCAAATCTGATGATGATAAAATTGTTCATTAGGTCAAGATCTATCTGCCCTGAAATTTTCAGACCAATCAGGCAACACGTTGTTGGGTTGCTGCCCCTGAATTGGTAATTTTAAGAAAATTTTGCAGCTTTTGGTTATTATCTTGAATATTATTATAGATAGAGATAAACGTAAACAGCAATAATGTACAGCAAAGTTAGATCTACAAATAAGTCAACATGACCAAAATTTTCAATTGACCCCTTAAGGAGTTATTGCCCTTTATAGTCAATTTTTTACAATTTTCATAAATTTTGTAAATTTTTGAAAATTTTTACAAAATATTTTCCACTGTAACTACCGGCCAAGTTCATTATAGATAGAGATAATAGTAAGGAGCAAGAATGTTCAGTAAAGTAAGATCTACAAACACATCACCATCACCATCACCAAAACACAATTTTGTCATGAATCCATCTAGTTCCTTTGTTTAATATGCACATAGACCAAGGTGAGCGACACAGGCTCTTTAGAGCCTCTAGTTTAGCTCACCTGGCCCAAAGGGCCAAGTGAGCTTTTCTCATCACTTGGCGTCCGTCGTCCGTCGTCGTCATCGTCCGTCGTTAACTTTTTACATTTTGAACTTCTTCTAGAGAACCACTGAATGGAATGAAACCAAACATGGCATGAATGTTCCTTATGAGGTGCTGACCAAGTGTTGTTACTTTGTAGCCTATCCATCATCCAAGATGGCCGCCAGCGGGGGACTTCGTTTAACATAGGACCTTATGGGAAATACATACAAATGTCTTCTTTTAGAGAACCACTGAATGGAATGAAACCAAACATGGCATGAATGTTCCTTATGAGGTGGTGACCAAATGTTGTTACCTTGCAGTTGGTCCATCATCCAAGATGGTGCCAGCGGGGGACTTAGTTTAAAATAGGACCCTTTGGGAAATACATACAAATGTCTTCTTTTAGAGAACCACTGAATGGAATGGAACTAAACATGGCATGAATGTTCCTTATGAGGTGTTGACCAAGTGTTGTTACTTTGCTGTCAATCCATCAACCAAGATGGCCGCCAGCGGGGAACTTAGTTTAACATAGGACCCTATGGGAAATACATACAAATGTCTTCTTTTAGAGAACCACTGAATGGAATGGAACCAAACATGGCATGAATAGTCCTTATGAGGTGTTGACCAAGTGTTGTTTCTTTGCAGTCGGTCCATTATCCAAGATGGCTGCCAGCGGGGGACTTAGTTTAACATAGGACCCTATGGGAAATACATACAAATGTCTTCTTTTAGAGAACCACTGAATGGAATGAAACAAAACATGGCATGAATATTCCTTGTGAGGTGCTGACCAAGTGTTGTTACTTTGCAGTCGGTCCATCATCCAAGATGGCCGCCAGCGGGGGACTTAGTTTAACATAGGACCCTATGGGAAATACATACAAATGTCTTCTTTTAGAGAACCAGTGAATTGAATGAAACCAAACATGGCATGAATAGTTCTATGAGGTGCTGACCAAGTGTTGTTACTTTGCAGTCGGTCCATCATCCAAGATGGCTGACAGCGGGTGACTTAGTTTAACATAGGACCCTATGGGAAATACATACAAATGTCTTCTTTTAGAGAACCAGTGAATGGAATGAAACCAAACATGGCATGAATGTTCCTTATGAAGTGTTGACCAAGTGTTGTTACTTTGCAGCCGATCCATAATCCAAGATGGCCGCCAGTGGGTGACTTAGTTTAACATAGGACCCTATGGGAAATACATACAAATGTCTTCTTTTAGAGAACCACTGAATGGAATGAAACCAAACATGGCATGAATGTTCTTTATGAGGTGGTGACCAAATTTTGTTACCTTGCAGTTGGTCCATCATCCAAGATGGCACCAGCGGGGGACTTAGTTTAAAATAGGACCCTTTGGGAAATACATACAAATGTCTTCTTTTAGAGAACCACTGAATGGAATGAAACCAAACATGGCATGAATGTAACTTATGAGGTGTTGACCAAGTGTTGTTACTTTGCTGTCAATCCATCAACCAAGATGGCCGCCAGCGGGGAACTTAGTTTAACATAGGACCCTATGGGAAATACATACAAATGTCTTCTTTTAGAGAACCACTGAATGGAATGGAACCAAACATGGCATGAATGTTCCTTATGAGGTGTTGACCAAGTGTTGTTTCTTTGCAGCCGATCCATCATTCAAGATGGCCGCTAGAGGGGGACTTAGTTTAACATAGGACCTATAATGGGAAATACATACAAATGTCTTCTTTTAGAGAACCACTGAATTGAACGAAACCAAACATGGCATGAATGTTCCTTATGAGGTGCTGACCAAGTGTTGGTACTGTGCAGCCGATCCATCATCCAAGATGGCTGCCAAGGGGGGACTTAGTTTAACATAGGACCCTATGGGAAATACATACAAATGTCTTCTTTTAGAGTACCACTGAATGGATTGAAACCAAACTTGGCATGAATGTTCCTTATGAGGTGTTGACCAAGTGTTGCTACTTTGTTGCCGATTTACTGTTCAAGAGGGCCACCAGAATATTTGATTAAATAACGGGACCAATAGTAAACCAAATTTGGCCTCAATCATTATTTGGGTATCTGTTATGATTTTTATCCATCTTCACATGATTTCTAAAACCAAAGTAGAGTCAGGTGAGCGACACAGGCTCTTGAGAGCCTCTAGTTTTCTTTCATGTATGCTATTTGACCATTTAAAGTTCTTACCGGGATGGAAATTCTTGCTTGCTCAGTCACTCATTGTGACAAAAAAAATAAACAAGATGATGTAGCGCATGTGGCTATTATATTTCGTGTAAATACATTGGGTTTAACCTCCGACACATATGTTGTTATGAAAATTTCTTCAAAATCTTTTCCTCGGCCTATCAATTGTTGTAACTGCTAAGTCAGTTTATCAAAACGTTATTGATCAAAACAAAGTTTTTCCTCATGACTTGTTCATTCCAATATTGCAAATGACTTACTTCCAGGTGATATGTATAATTCCTGAATTGGATTCTAAGGTACTACTTTCAGGATCACTTATTTAAGATTTAATGGCTTGAAAAATGGAAAATTATGAGACAATCTTTTGAAATCACTTAAATCAATAATTTTAGCTGAACAATTTAATCAGTTACAGAAGTTAAGATTTGTATTGTCTTTCAGATACAGATCAAGTCATATTGATTAAGGATGATTTAAGTAAATTTAAACAAAAAACACATAAAATTTGCAATAATGTTTCAAATTGTCTTCAGCACCAAAAAGTACATTAGGGCTAATATCATTTTGATTTTACAGAGTGAAGTAGGGGGATATGGACATGCTGATGTCTGTCTAACATTGTAAATGTTCTCCAGCCCAAAAATGTTCTCATTAGATTTTAATGAAATTTATGTCAAAGGTTGCATTGTAAGCTCTCTTGCATCTACATTCCTTATCAGAGTTACATGAAATTTATATTTAAGGGCGACAACAGCAATATCTAAGATGAGCTTGAAAATAAGCTTTGGTAGATAAATTCTGGGGAAATTGATGCTCCTTGAAAATGTAAATAAAAAAGTAACAACATTGTATCCAAATTTCCTTCTACATTTCAAATTAACGTTTGAAGCTTCAATGTTTATGTGAAATCAGCAATATCTTTGACAAGTTAGAAAATGAGCCCAGATCAAATATTTTGGAACGAGTTTAGCCTTTTTTGAAAAATTAAGCAATATTGAAAATCAACATTGTGAGGGCTCTTGCACATGTTTTGCTTCAGACCATAATGAAATTTATTTCCAAGGTTATCATTATTAATAACTCAATCGAGGTTTAGTATAAGCATTGATTAATAATTTTTGGGCTATTTATACACATTGAAAATGTAAGTGCTCTCGCCTACATTGGTCGTAAATGTTTAATGAAAATAACAATATAAATTTGGTCTTTCTGTGACTTTGAAACTCGTTTCTGATTTACTTTCATCAGGAATGCTCAATGTCAAACTTGAAAGCCTAAGATGTTTAAGTACTTTTAAAGTAAATTGTAAGGAGCTATATGACCAAAAAGTAGCCATATCCATCAAAGGTGATCTTGGCCTGAGGGAGTTGTAACCATTGTTTCTTAATAATTTCAAAGGCTAACATCAGCCTCTGACAAGTTTGAAAATCAGCATTCATTGAATATATTTGAGTTACTC